AGTATAAATCAGTACCGAAAACCGAAGACCGATCAATACGTAATTTTTCCATCAAATTAACGCGGATAAATGAACGATTCGTATTAATTTTCTGTTTTCTTATAGAGAAATGAAAGAGTAAATCAATACCGAAAACCGAATATCGATTAATACCGTAAATCAGTGTCAGAGAATTGTCCAAGTGCAATGACCATTTGTTCTTATTTTTCAGGTACTTACCCCTTTAATTTACTTAACAAATTAACTGTGTTAAACGCACGATCCGTATCAATTTTTCTTTTCTTATAAAGAAATGAGAGTATAAATCAGTACCGAAAACCGAAGACCGATCAATACGTAATTTTTCCATCAAATTAACGCGGATAAATGAACGATTCGTATTAATTTTCTGTTTTCTTATAGAGAAATGAAAGAGTAAATCAATACCGAAAACCGAATATCGATTAATACCGTAAATCAGTGTCAGAGAATTGTCCAAGTGCAATGACCATTTGTTCTTATTTTTCAGGTACTTACCCCTTTAATTTACTTAACAAATTAACTGTGTTAAACGCACGATCCGTATCAATTTTTCTTTTCTTATAAAGAAATGAGAGTATAAATCAGTACCGAAAACCGAAGACCGATCAATACGTAATTTTTCCATCAAATTAACGCGGATAAATGAACGATTCGTATTAATTTTCTGTTTTCTTATAGAGAAATGAAAGAGTAAATCAGTACCGAAAATCGAATATCGATTAATACCGTAAATCAGTGTCAGAGAATTGTCCAAGTGCAATGACAATTTGTTCTTATTTTTCAGGTACTTACCCCTTTAATTTACTTAACAAATTAATTCTGTTAATCGAACGATCCGTATCAATTTTTCTTCTCTTATAAAGAAATAAGAGAATAAATCAGTACCGAAAACCGAAGACCGATCAATACGTAATTTTTCCATCAAATTAACGCGGATAAATGAACGATTCGTATTAATTTTCTGTTTTCTTATAGAGAAATGAAAGAGTAAATCAATACCGAAAACCGAATATCGATTAATACCGTAAATCAGTGTCAGAGAATTGTCCAAGTGCAATGACCATTTGTTCTTATTTTTCAGGTACTTACCCCTTTAATTTACTTAACAAATTAACTGTGTTAAACGCACGATCCGTATCAATTTTTCTTTTCTTATAAAGAAATGAGAGTATAAATCAGTACCGAAAACCGAAGACCGATCAATACGTAATTTTTCCATCAAATTAACGCGGATAAATGAACGATTCGTATTAATTTTCTGTTTTCTTATAGAGAAATGAAAGAGTAAATCAGTACCGAAAATCGAATATCGATTAATACCGTAAATCAGTGTCAGAGAATTGTCCAAGTGCAATGACAATTTGTTCTTATTTTTCAGGTACTTACCCCTTTAATTTATTTAACAAATTAACTGTGTTAAACGCACGATCCGTATCAATTTTTCTTCTCTTATAAAGAAATAAGAGAATAAATCAGTACCGAAAACCGAAGACCGATCAATACGTAATTTTTCCATCAAATTAACGCGGATAAATGAACGATTCGTATTAATTTTCTGTTTTCTTGTAGAGGAATGAAAGAGTAAATCAGTACTGAAAATCGAATATCGATCAATACCATAAATCAGTGTCAGAAGATTGTCCAAGTGCAATGACAATTCGTTCTCATTCCCGAGTCTTTCCCAAGTCGAAATATTAATTCTACATTGATCCTGCAAATTGCATCCAATTTGAAAAATCATTGCAGAATATCTAGATGCGCAATAGTGAACAAGCTTTGTCTTACCTGAACGTTACATCTGGCTACTCTCGCAGTCTCGCCCATGATGAGTCTTCAACAGCGACGTATTCCGCAGTTTAATACTCGTTTATCTCGATAATGTATATGTACTTAATCCTTATATTCTTAATTTAAATGAGCAATTTTTGTTGATATTGATTATATATTTGCTTAACAGCGCAAGAAAGAGAACAAAGATAAACACGTAAATAGAACTGTCTTTGTTAGAACTGCGCGTGAGATAAATATATAAGGATTAAATAATCATATAAGAATTAGAGGAAATGGGAGATGAAAAACACTTTTTATTCTCATCATTCTTAAAGTTCTTTTTTCTTTTTTCTTCTCTTTTTTTTTTTTCTTTTTTCTAATGAGAATGATGAGAATTGTAGCTCTCAAAAGAGCTGAAGCTGCAAAAAGACAACGGTTATGTCTAATAATGCTGTTTCACTAATAGAGATTTTAATTCTAATTCGGTACAATAAGAAAGATAAACAAGAATGAGAAACGGACATTCTAGCAGATTCTAAAGGGAAACAGCAATCTGAGCATTATTAGGCGAATAAAAATCAATACTTGTAAAATTTATATCAGATTCTAAGATCATTATTCATAGTTTTTTAAATTATGTGCAATTTTTCATTGAGAACATAATTACAAATTTATATTCATAAACCTTAGCTTGCCTTAGCAACCTTGCTTGAATAGACATTCATATTTTATGAGAAAAGAAAAGTAGAACTCACTGTTACGTGAAATTAGTTTAACGAATAATCAAATTTCAAACTATTTTTCAGATGATAAACTATGAATGCTGATCTAATTTCGACTCGGGTATGTCCTTACTTCGAATAAGGTCCGTTAAAATCAGAAAAATCTTGAGTAATAATAATGACTCGAGATACCTCGAATACCATATATGATGTATCGCTGTCCACGTCTCTCGGCGCGCTCCAAGTCCTCTGCATCCTGACTTCTCGATCCGACGTCCTCCTTCTGGTTACTCCGTCGCAGCACCCCCGGATACTCCATCGTAGCACTGGCGATGACACTGACTCTAGCTCTAACACTCGCGCAAGTAAGATTCGGGGACAAAGAAACGCGTATTAACCGATACGACTACCGACACTCGTACTCTGCGTCGCGGTATGCGCGTCGTTCGTCGGCCCGAGGCGCAATGTCCTTTCCGCAATCACGGAGTCATGTATAAGCGTATGAAAACAAACAATCGGGAAGGCACGGTTACCCCCCACTTTGCCGATCAGTGTTGATGCCTGCGTCGTCCGTTAGCTGAAAATGAAAACAACTCGTATTTTCAAAGCATGCCTGTGAGAGATTCGCTTCAAACTTCGTAATACTTTACGTCTGTCCCAAGAATCATATTACGCCGAATTTAAACCGTCTCTATTGACATGCGAATTTTGTCTCGTTCTTATTAAATGTTAGATTATCCGCTGCGGACAATAAGTCTTCTACTTTTCATCTAATATTCAATGATAATAAATAACATTTAATTGCATTCGTTTGACATTTTTTATTTCGAAAATAAAAAAATATATACCAGGGTGAGATTTCACCCATAACAACATCAACGTGATTTTCTTTGATGCTTTTTTTAAAAGTTCAAATATTTCGTCGACTCGCGGGATATTTATAATTGGAGTCTCGTCGCGTTAATTAACATGTGCTCCTCCGAGAGGATCGAATGCTCACCGACGGTCACTGTCAGTGCCACGAGCGAATGTCCGGAGCGGACGGGATGCCGAATTGAGAAGCAGGACGAAGGGAACGGGACGCGGGCAACGATACATCATGCGTCTCCAGACGTATCAAATCGATAATTATACAGGAGACTTTAATACGGCAACATGTATGTAGAGGATTTAATATTTAATATGTACTTTTATTTTCCCTGCTCACCCTCTACGCTCTTTTTAGACCTTCGGGCATAGTCTGGCATAGAGATAGTAACTATGGTTGCAGCACGGACATAAACCGCCTGAAAGTGGATGTAGCACGGACTTCCACCACATGCAGATTATACAACCAAGATTTGAAAGTGGATGTAGCATCGTAGTTCTCCTCTCAAAATGGATGCATATGGCGCCCATTTCCAGCTAAAAATCGCCGAAAACGTCGTGTTGGCCGCTCTCAGCTTCCTCTCTGGTTTCACTACGAAGATTAAAGTTTTCCAACATTTCTCCATTGATATCTCCGCTTCTACTGGGAGTAGAGAGTCGTCCATGTAGTCGAAAATGTAGGGTTTTGAGAGGACTTTATTTTGGTGCCAGAGCCAGGACTGTATCTCTAACCGTTTAAGAGATATCGAAGACTAAAGTTTTCCAACCTTTCTCCGTTGATATCTCCGCTTCTACTGGGAGCAGAGAGTCGTCATTGTAGTCGAAAATGTAGGGTTTTGAGAGGACTTTATTTTGGTACCTGTCCGAAGCCTGTATCTCTAACCGTTTAGGAGATATCGAAGATTAAAGTTTTCTAACATTATTCCGTTGATATCTCCGCTTCTACTGGGAGTAGAGTGTCGTCCATGTAGTCCAAAATGTTGGGTTTTGAAAGGGCTTTAATTTGGTACCTGTCCGAAGCCTGTATCTCTAACCGTTTAGGAGATATCGAAGGTTAAAGTTTTCCAACCTTTCTCCGTCGATATCCAGTCTTCATCCGTCGATATCTCCGCTTCTACTGGGAGTAGAGAGTCGTCCATGTAGTCCAAAATGTAGGGTTTTGAAAGGGCTTTAATTTGGTACCTGTCTGAAGCCTGTATCTCTAACCGTTTAGGAGATATCGAAGGTTAAAGTTTTCCAACCTTTCTCCGTCGATATCTCCGCTTCTACTGGGAGTAGAGAGTCGTCCATGTAGTGCAAAATGTAGGGTTTTGAAAGGGCTTTAATTTGGTACCTGTCGGAAGCCTGTATCTCTATCCGTTTAGGAGATATCGAAGGTTAAAGTTTTCCAAGCTTTCTCCGTCGATATCTAAGCTTCTACTGGGAGTAGAGAGTCGTCACTTACGGCAAAATGTAGGGTTTTGAGAGGACTTTAATTTGGTGTCAGAACCAGGCCTTTATCTCTAACCGTTTAGGAGATATCGAAGGTTAAATTTTTCCAGCCTTTCTCCGTCGATATCCAGCCTTCCTCCGTCGATATCTCCGCTTCTACTGGGAGTAGTCAACGTAGTTCCAGGCTACAAATGGGCGCAGATGGCGTTAAAATCAGTCATCAAAATGCATATCGCCAAAAACTCCGACGTGGCCGCTCTCAGGCTTCTCTCTGATTAAAGTAACACTTTTATTTAAATAACATAAATATATATACATTTTTTTGACATTTACAACGAGGATATGTTATTTAACACTACACTTCTTTCCATTTCTGGATTCCACATTTGAATTACTCGTAATGCTGCTACTCCGTAATGTTCAAAGCGTTATGTGGACTTAGAGTTGCACGGTCTGCACTTAAAATGAAGTAGATATATGTTTGTTGCTCAAGATGGAAGAGAGAAGAAAGCAGATTTGTTATAAGGCAATTCAAAAAGTGTAGCTATAACGAACAGACTGACATTCAGAAAGTTCCGTACGTATAGTTCATAAAAAACACATGAAATTTAACTTCCTGATGGCAGCAATTGATAAAGTCAAAATTATCGTAGTGGGCGATTCTGGTAAATATAAAATTTGTGATATTTATATAGAGTATGTAGGTTATTTATAATTGAGCCACCCATAATATATGATGAGTCTTTATTAATATTACTTGTATTAATGAACATGTATTGGAGAGTCAATATTTGAATTATCACAGGTGTTGGTAAAACATCTTTGACGCATTTGATATGCCAACAGCAACCTATCAGCAATCCTTCCTGGACAGTAGGTTGCTCAGTAGAAGTCAAATTACATGAGTACAGAGAAGGAACGCCTAATCAGAGACGATACTTTATTGAATTATGGGATGTTGGTGGCAGTCAAAATCACAAAAACACAAGATCTGTGTTTTACAATCCTACAAATGGTACGCATATGTCATATTGAAATAGACACAAGACTGTATTAATAAATGGAATACCATACTTAAATTTATAATCATGATAAAATCTGACGATGAATACAAATATATGTCTTTTATAAGTAGGTATAATACTGGTCCATGACTTAACAAATCGCAAATCACAGCAGAACTTGCAGAAATGGCTAGAAGAGGTATTAAACAAAGATGGGACTTTCTCCAAATCCAAATCATTTGATGACTTTGATCCTGAAAAGTTTGTGGGCTTAACTCATGTAAAAAACTTTCAAATTATTCAATTGCAACATCATATATATATAACATTATACATATGTATATGATATATATTAGATATAATAAATATATGAGTAACATTAACTGTGAAAACAGTTTTGCAACTGTTTATGTTTTTTAATTTATATTTATTCAATAGATTAATTGTATTATTATATCATCTTTTTCCCCTAGCATGCTAAATATATATTTAATGATCAAATTATGTTGAGAAATTGTTTGTAATTGTCAGAAAAAACATTCAATGAAACCTTTCAATCTTTGAAGATGTAACACAAGATGCTAAAGTAACATTGATCTCTATTGAACATATTTGTTTGTTTCCAGATTCCAATTTTAGTGATTGGCACAAAGCTTGACTTAATTCCTGAAGTAAAATCCAATGTACATAGACGTTCCTCAACTATCGCAGAGGAATGTGGTGCTGATGAAATATTTTTGGTAAATATTAAAACATATAAAATCAATTCATTGAATATGTTTATTACATTTGTGATTTGGATCACAGAGCTATGTCTAATCATTATATCATTATTTTAACAGGACTGCCGTCAAATAAGATCTTTAGCAGCTGGCTCTAGTTCTTCTGTAAAGCTCAGTAGGTTCTTTGATAAAGTTATTGAAAGACGTTACTATGCCTCTAGAGAAGGGTTCAATCTTGACAAACGCAGACCACCATTGTATTCTTCTTCAGTCTACACAAAATCTTATCACAATGACTAAGCAACATGTAGGGAGCTTGACAGAATATTCTTATTCTACATTACTTAGGATAATTTTCGATTTTGTAATATAATATCACTGCAGAATTGTGCAAGTCGAGTAATCGGGTGTCACAAGGTAATAATCATGCATTTCTTTATCTACATTCCTAATCTTCCTACGGAAGTGTTTTGTCGGATGTGCTCAAGATACGACTGTGAACAAAGTAGATAAAAAGATTTATATATACATGTCTGGATTTAAGTAGCCAAGCGCTCGTGTGCAGGTAGAGAACTCTTTAAACTGAATAAAAAAATTCTGTCATTTTGTAAATTACCACAGTCATTACTGAGACATAAATAATCGTGGTAATTTAAAAATGTTAGAGGATTCTTCTACTTTTTATAACAATTTCTTAATCCATTCACTCTGTATATGTACAAGTTGCTGTCTCTTACGGTTGATTATGAAAATATACTAAGCTCACAATACTTTCCATATAATTATGTTATAAGACACATTGTTTTATATACAATATAATTTCATATATCTTGACTATATTGTAAAAATATATTTTATCAATTTCTTTTTAATAAGTACAATTCGTGTAATTGTTGGTCATTTGAGAAATATATATGAAAGATCAGTTTTTTTTTTCTGTTCAAACCGATATAGGAAGTGTACAAAGATTCCTAAACAGAGTTGTCATTATTTCCTCAGATTTTAGAAATAGTGGTTGTGTTCAGAAAACAAAGCGCTCACTGAGCGCTTAGTAACTATTGGTCCTTACTGTTAGATCCTTACATTCAGACTAATAACATTGACGAATTATTCAACTGTTGTGTATTCTGAACGCAGCCAGTGTTAAATGATATCGAAAACTGAATCTATCGGATATACTGTGGACACTCTGATATCGAGTTACGTCTTTATCTTGGAGAGACTTTCTGTAGTTGAAATTTTCCCACTCCTGCTGTGATTTATGCTTATACCATAGATTACGACATGATTAGCATGAAATTGGTCTGAATCTGCATCATACTTGTCCCCCCAGATTCCCTAGAAAACAGAACTTTCCATTGGCTATTGAAGTGATATATTGGATGTAATTTGAAACGGATCGACTGATTCGCAATCATTTTATGTCACGCGTCACGGCGCGCAGCGACAGATGTTTCAAAAAGCACGTCCTCGCCAAAAGAGCGGATAAGTGAGTAAGTGTGCGAAATGTCACACATATGTCATGAACTGACAGCTCCAAGGAGGAAGACGGATCTTTCTTTGCCATGTATTTATGAGTCATTGCGATATATCGTCATATCTCTATCCTAGAGATCAAGGCACACTTAGCTCTTTTACATGTATGTGTGAATGTTTAATTTGGAACATATGTAATATTTGCCATTTCTCGTATCCGTATTGTCAAGGTTATCTTATCTTTATATTCGATCATTTCGTTGATAAGAATTTTAGGATAATGGTAACAATTGCTTTCGTAAGTCACTTAAAGGATTCTTTCCTTAGTTTAGCTATTATTGCAGCCTAATTTCTGCAATTGAACAACCTAATGACCTTCCACAATCTGGGATTGTAATGTGGTAAGCGATAAGCAGTTTTTAATAGATGGTTTTTCCTTTTTTTTTTTTTTTTCAGGAAATATCCGCAATCATGAATCACTGTCTCGTTAAGAAGTGCATCAGAACGAATTATCTTTTTTATATGTTAATGCGTGTTCAGCCTATAATATACATTCAGAAATGTCATGCTCATAATATAGAGATAAATTTGAATAATGGACCAGTCAGTATTTTGAAGCAAAAGATTATGAGAGGCGAGTTGATGAAAGATGCGCACCAAATGAAAGTGGCACAGATCTTGCAGGGAGTTTATCAAGAAGTGCATAATTACAAGCCACAACAATTAAACATATTGGAGAAATGGTTTGGTGGCAAGAAGAAGGACGCGCCAAAAGGCTTGTACATTTATGGAGCAGTAGGTGGAGGTAAAACAATGTTGATGGACCTATTTTACAATTGTTGCCAGGTATCTCGGGTTGCTGCTTGAATAAGTACTGTATATGGCGAATTAGATTAATATTTTTAATTCCTTGACATAATAATCTGTTTTCCAAATTGATTTGGAAAATTAGAATCGTACAACCATTTACAAAAGTAACAAAAAAAATATAAAAATTTCCAAAATTAAAATAGATATATAACAATTGTTTATACATACGTTAGAGTAGTAGGTCAAAATGTAATTTGCCATATGTGATATAAAACAAATATAATGTCACTTTGATAACATAATGCATTTTGAAGTGAAAATTTCTCACTTCAGATCGAGAACAAGAAGAGAGTTCACTTTCACTCCTTTATGCTGGATGTTCATAACAGAGTGCACGAGGTGAAAAAGACCATTGTACGAGATGTTACCAGCACCAAGTTGCAACCTTTTGATCCAATACCTCCGGTCGCGTCCGGTATTGCCGAGAAGGCTTGGCTGTTATGTTTCGATGAATTTCAGGTTGACATTAATGCCCGTCGTAAAGAAAAACTGAAAATACTCGATAGTAGAAATTTAATGAAAGTAAATATATCGAAGGTGACAGACATCGCGGATGCCATGATATTAAAAAGGCTGTTCACGGAACTTTTTGATAACGGTGTGATAGTAGTGGCGACTAGTAATAGGTCGCCGGACAATCTGTATAAGAATGGATTACAGAGGGGAAACTTCGTGCCGTTTATTCAAGTGCTGAAGAATCATTGCTCTGTCAGTAACTTAGATTCTGGGATAGATTACCGTTTAAAATCGGGATCCGGCAACAAGAAAATATACTTTATGTACGTATATATTGATAAAAGCAGCGCCGTATTAATCTTCCTTTGGGCTCTGGGTTCCTTGTCTCTGCAGAGTATACAAATTTAATATAATTTTCATTTTGTTTTTTTGCTCAAAAGAAAACATTTCTGCTCGTAAATTATACATTACGTTGAAAAATTTATCTAAACGTGCCGTATGTGAAAAGCTGTTGAGTAATATTTCGTGGAGAGCCAAATTTGCAGAGTTCCCAATACCTAGTGTGTGTGTAGGAAGTACGGTCTTGTTATTGAACACGTCACGATTAATCGAGTTACATAATTGATGGTTCAAGAAAAGGCAAGGACGCAGCAAATGACGTGGATAAAGTCTTCAAATATTTGTGCTCTATGGAGAACGATGTTGTACGACCGCGAACAATCTCTATTAGAGGACGCAACGTCAGTTTTTGCAAAACTTGCGGCCAAGTGCTCGACTCTACGTTCGAGGAATTGTGCGACAGGGTGAGACAGGCTCGGAATGTTTTTGAATTATATATGCAGATGGGAAAATTGTATCTATAGAAATACATAAAGTGCGTTTTTTTCGGCACAGCCTCTTGGAGCGAGCGATTATCTGCAGTTGAGTCAAATATTTCACACAGTAATCATAAGAGATATGCCGCAGCTGAACTTACGACTCAAATCTCAAGCCAGGAGATTTATCACGCTTATTGATACGTTGTATGATAACAGAGTGAGGCGCACTATATTTCTAATTTAAGACATTGATTTTTTTTAAGTATCTTTAAAGATATACCAGCATTCAAAATTAATACAGAAGTTATGTAAATAATGTAAGATATTTGTATGTAATATTTTATAATATTTATAGGTACGAGTAGTTATGTCGGCGACTGTACCACATACGCAACTATTTTTGCCAGAAGCCGAGTCCGAATACACTGACGAGAAGAGGATGCTGATGGATGATTTAAAGATCTCTCATGGTTCAGTAAGTAAGCCAAAGCTAGTGATATTAGCGATACGTATGAATCTCTTATCAATCGCGATAATTTAATTTACATTATCTGCAGGAGGATCACAAGGCAAATATTTTCACTGGAGAAGAAGAACTGTTCGCATTCGATCGTACAGTGTCGCGTTTGGCCGAGATGCAGACTTCACAGTATTGGGAACAATGGGAGCACCATAGATAATGACATCTTTAAATAGATTTATACATAGACATTAGATGTGAATTTATTTCGCACGTAACGTACAAGTATTGACGATGTGATTTTTACAACAAGATCTCACATACAGTTATTAAAATCTCCGTCAGGTGTGTTTCATCTTGTCAACGGTTCCACTCAGAGTATAAAACGTTTCATATTTCGTCAGTATTTTATTTTCTTCATAGATTATTTTTTGGAAGTAGTTGAGGCTTAATATTAAGTTACTCCTATTTATTAGATTAAAATTATAGACACCAATTTCTAACATAAATGTATGTACTTATGTATATATGTAAAGTTCTAATTACGTGAAATTTCTTGCATCTGTCTGTCCTTCACTTCTTGGTTGAATAAATAATTAATGTTGATTTTGCATGGCTTCTGATTTATTGCCTTGCATCAGTGATTATTGGGGAAATGTGATAATGAAGCAAATATTAGGTTGTTGCAGATGAAATGGCCATTTTTTAATTTTTAATTTAAATTTTTATTCGACACACTTTATATATATCTCGTCAATCAAAATAGTCTCCCTCCACCTCAATACACTTCCCCCAACGTGATACAAGCGCATCAACGGTTGCATTCAGAAAACAAAGCGCTCACTGAGCGCTTAGTAATTATTGGTCCTGTTAGATCCTTAGATTCAGACCAATAACGTTGACGAATTACTCAATCGTTGTGTAACCGTTGTGTTTTCTGAACGCAACTATTGCCTTTCACGGAGAAATTAGAAAAGCGAGATGCAAGAAATTCGTTGGACGCATTTTTCACGTCGCTTTCTGTTTGGAATATCTTTTCACTTAAAAAGTTATTCAGATGCTTAAACAAATGGTAATCAGTTGGAGAAAGGTCAGGAGAATAAGGAGGGTGAGGGAGAACTTCGCATTTGTATTCTGTTAATGTTTTTACAGTTTTTTTGCAATACACGGTCTAGCATCATGGAGCGATAACATACCGCGTCTATTTAATAACGCCGGCTGTTGAATATGCAGTTTTTCCATCACAATGTCAATTTCTTGGCAATATTTATCAGCATTTATAGTTTCACCCTTTTTCAAAAACGAAAGATGCACAATACCCTTGGCAGACCATCATACAGATACCATAACTTTACATGGATGAAGGCTCGGTTTCGGTCGACGATTGCCATAAAGAACCCACTTTTCATCACACGTTACTATTCGATTCAATATTCCTTCATTATTGTGTCGGGAAAGCAAAGATGAGCTGATTTCCATACGGCGAAGCTTGTCTCTCTGTCAGTTCATGTGGTACCCATTTGTCAAGCTTTTTCACTTTCCCCATGGCCTTTAGGTGTCAGGAAACAGTGGAACAGTGAACGTTGATGCTGTGTGCAATATCTCGAACTGATAAACGCGAGTCTGCTTCAACCATGTCTTTCAAAACATTGTCATCAATCACTGATAGTGCATGGCTGCGAGGCAAATTGTCGAAATTTGTATCACCAGACCGAAACTTTTCAAACCAACGTCTAATGGTTCGATCACTTACAGAACCGCCCCCAAAAGCAGTATTTATGTTTCACGTTGCCTCGGCCGCACTATGACCAAGTTTGTATTCGTACAAGAATATTATTCGCATTTTCTTACTTTCCATGTCGAAGAGACAACGATTTTCAACGATATAAACAACGTGATAAAAGTAAGACGTGCGAATTTACGTGTGGAGCATATACTTTTCAAATATCACGCATGCAACGACAGCTGCATGAAAAGAGCTGAACTACTCGGCCGGGAAATTTGAATTTTGAAAAACGGCCATTTCATCTGCAACAACTTAATAGCAATGAATCGCAATTCAAATGATATATGTATACAAATATACGTATCCAAATATAATTATGCAATCATATAATATTGAATAATTGTGACAAGATATACATCTATAAAATTGATATATTCAATCAATACACAGACAATTGAATATATCATAAATGTTTTTCGATTATCTATCGGTTTTTCTGGTCCAATTAATAAACATAGAAATTTATATATATTTTGCGTAATTCCTCTAACAATTTTGTCCAACCGATATAAAAATGCATACACACAATAAAGTTTATTTCGTCGCCAAAAGAAACGGATATTGAAGAATTTCCATATCTTTCTCATGATTCTTTTGTGTATTTTTAATATTATTATTTTAATTCTCGTCTTTCCTAACATTCAATGTAATGTTTTGTTTTATGCATTCAATTTTATAAGTTTTATAAGTTATATCTCCCGCCTATCATCCTTATCACTTTCCATCAGAGGACATGTTGCGTAACCGCAATATGAGAAATATTCGAGAACGAGACAGATTGCTGTTATTCGTATGATACGTGATAATAACCTGCCTGGTAGTTTCAAAGTTGTCCTTCAAGATTCTTCTGTAACATGACGCTGCCATTTTCTGAACGTTTGTAATAAATAAAATAATCGATATACGTTTTATCGCGATATGAGAACGTCTTTAAATTTACATATTCATTTCTATTCTCATTTTATTTTTTAGTGCACTTGCAAGTACATATTAATGAGCCAACAATAAATAAGACTGTTCGACAGATACGTTACAAAGCGAGCACGTTAACAGGCAATAATAAAGTAGCTTGGTTACTGAAAGCAATAACTTTCATTGATTTGACCACTTTAAATAGTGATGATACTAGCAGTAATGTGGAGGAACTTTGTAGAAAGGTAAATGAGAGATTTATTTATCAAATGGAATAGAAATGATCAACATCTAATTATAGGCTGCCAGACCTATAGCCTTCTTACCATTTGACAAATGGGTTGAACCACTTCACACAGCAGCTGTTTGTGTTTATCCATCTAGAATAGCAGATGCAATATCTGCATTGGAATGTAAAAATTATCTAGACAAGATCCGAGTGGCTAGTGGTATGGTTGTATGTGTGTGTGTGTGTGCGTGCGTGTGTGTAAAAAGAAAGATTTCTTTTAATTTAGCTTACAGTAAATATACCAGTTTTGATTGCAATATTTACTTTTATATTACAGTAGCTGCAGGTTTTCCTTCTGGACAATATCCTTTAGCATCCCGATTAGAAGAAGTACGTTGTGTCTTAAAAAGTGGAGCAAATGAAGTGGATATTGTTATTGACCGCTCACTAGCTTTAAGTCATGAGTGGAAACAATTGTATGAAGAGCTGGTAGCTATCCGTAAAATTTGTGATGAACAAAATAAAGATAAAATATGGTTAAAAGCTATACTTGCAACAGGAGAACTGTTTAACTTGAAGGATGTATACAAAGCATCCATGGTGGCTATGATGGCTGGTGCTGATTTTATTAAAACCTCCACAGGAAAAGAAGCTATTAATGCAACTTTGCCTGTTGGCGTTGTAATGTGTAGAGCAGTAAAAGATTTTGCAGATTTAACTGGGAAAATGGTGTGTATAATTATGTGTATATTTATTCTCATTGATCAGATTATATATAATAATTTTTGTTTATAGATTGGCATTAAACCTGCTGGTGGTATCAAGACTGCACAGGATGCACTAGAATGGATGGTTTTGATTAAAGAGGAATTAGGGTCAGCGTGGTTGAATAAAACAAATTTTAGAATTGGTGCATCTAGCTTACTTGGTAATATCGAAAAAGAGATTTTTAATAGTTATCAACCTAATGATGACTAAAAATTTGATTAAATAAGTCAAACCTGTTTGGAATAAAAATATTTTTATACTGCTTTTATAAAATATTAAATTTATTTGGAGCAATAATAAATATATTTTTATATGTACATATTAAAATTTTACATTAAATAAATTTTATTAATGTTAATGTGATTATATAAAAACCAAAATTATGTGCCGATGGAAGATTAGTACAGAATATTGAATTTTTTTCCAAGTTCCAATGCTCAAATGGCTAAACATGTACAGAAAACTTTTAGAAAATCAACATTTACAAATTCTCTTAAATATATCTTCAAATATTTCATAGCCAGCAAAATTATTTGCATAACATCTGTATGGGCATTTTATTGGTTAAGAAGTTATCAAAGTTAGTGATGTTAATTACTGAAGATGTATTTAAGACCATCTTAAATATTGGGTTGTTCAGAAAGTAATTTCAGTTTTCTGCACAAAAATGAAAGGTGATATTTTCAATAGAAAGAAAGTTTTATTCTGTTAAGTATTGACCATTTTGTTTCAACACCTTTTGCCATCTTTGAGATAATAACATGATTCCATGCTCATAGAACTTTTGGTCCTTATTAGCAAAAAATTGAATTAAGTGATTTTTGACACCTTCATTTGAATTGAAATTTTTATCATCCAAAGAATTTTACAGAATTTGACTGAAACAAGTGATAATCGGATGGTGCCAGATCAGGTGAATATGGTGGATGCGGTAGTAAATCCCATCCAAGTGCTAACAGCTTTTGGTGAGTCATTAAACTTGTGTGAGGTATGGCGTTATCATGATGAAACACAACACTTTTTCTGTTCACCAATTCTGCTCTCTTCTGCTTGATGGAATCATTCAATTTATCCAATTGATGACAATACACATTTGAATCAATCGTTTGGTTTGGTAGCAGCTCAAAAAAAACTATTCCCTTCCAATCCCACCAAACAGAGAGCATCACCTTCTTTTGTTGGATATCGGTTTTCAATGTGCTTTGAGCTGGTTCATCATGTCTGCTCCTTGATCTTTTGTGTTTAATATTGTTGTACACAATCCATTTTTCATCTTCAGTTATGAGTCGCTTCAGAAATGGATCGTTTTTCTCACGTTTCAACAGCAAATCGCAGATGGTAATGCGACGAATCAAATATTTTTCTTCGAGAACGTGTGGAACCCAAATATTGAGCTTTGAAACGAAACCAAGTTGTTTCAAATGCTCATGCACGGTCGAATTCGATAAATTCAATCTCTCAGCAATTTCTCGTATTGTTAAATGATGATTTGCATCCACCAGTGCCTTTATTTGATCGTTATCAGCCTCAATTGGCCTTCCAGAACGTGGTGCATCTTTGAGGTTGAAATTCCCAGAACGAAATTTCGAAAACCAATTTTGACATTGGCGTTCAGTTAACACATCTTCTGTATATACACACATAATTCTTTTCTTGCTTCCGCTGCACTTTTGCCTTTACAGTAATAAAAAAGCAAAATGTGACGAAAATGCTCATGTTGGTTTTCCATTTTTGATGCGACGCCAAACAAAAACAACTTGACAGATTTCAAAACAACTTTTTTTCAAATGAAGTTTGAAATGTATGGTGTAAAAATGTAAAATGATTTTCTAGCTTAAAATGAAGTTAAGTGCTTAAAAGGCAACTAACACCACCTATTTGAAAAAACCGAAATTATTTTCCGAACAATTCAACATAAGAACGGACTATGAATAAATCTTGATCGTATTTTATTGCACCTGGGTGCAAAATACTTAGGGCCTTCTTGGCTGATATGAAAATTGACAAAGGGCTGTCAATTTTTATATTATTTCGTCGATGGCACCGGTGTTCTAAGGCCGTTTTCCAGCAAGGGTCACAGACTACGTTTATACGGCTTCTAATTTCGACTTGTAACTACTGTAGTTAGTGCAGTTTCGAATCCAATTAGAGTATATTTTTAAATCTAAAAGAATATACCAATGGAATCAAAGAATTCACTAAAGCCAGCGGCACACGGTGCTTGTTTCCGTGTTGGATTGCTTGCTGGATGAAAATACCGCGTTCTGATTAGTATATTTCCGAAGATGGATGGAAATGCACCAATCAGAACGCAGTATTTTCATCCAGCAAGCAATCCAGCACGAAAACAAGCACCGTGTGCCGCTGGCTTAAGGTTGTTACTAATCCGGATTAGGGCAAGAGCACAGGCTTTTGCATAACACATAATACATAACGCATAAGAGAATAAACCAATTAGTTTTCTTCATTTCCCTCCTCAGGACAGAAATGAAGAACTCTGATTAGTTGATTCTCTTATGCGTTGTGTATTATGTGTTATGCAAAAGCTTGTGCTCTGGCCCTATCATTTGAAGCTATTGGTTGCCATTTTTGTATACATTTTCACTGTCGCGTTATACCATCTATACAATTTGCTTTTCAGAGGGAGTTACTTCTTTTCCACGTGTTTGTGGCTTTTCGAGGTTTGTACTTTGGAGATTTAAGTTTTAATCGGAAAATACAGATCAAAAATATTTAAAGAAATGTAATGTTTTATGTTATATACAATATTTGAAACATTATAATATATAAAACATTTAATATTTTCCCCACACTTGCGAACGTGTGATTATAATGCATCTGTTAGAATCTATAGGTCATACGCTCAGTATAATGCCGTATTTAATACTTCAATATCCGAAAATATTTTTCAATATCCATAAATTTAACAGTACGATAGTTGGAAGCATTCCTCGTGTGGATATCAACGCAATTTGTACAAAAAATATTCTAACCTTAAAATCTCTTTAGATGTTTACAGCAAACGCAAAGATAATTAAGAGTGGTGGTGCCGAGCCCGACCAGTTCGAGCTGGGCATCTCCAATGCTCTCCTGGATTTGGAAATGAACAGCGATTTGAAGTCGCAGTTGAGAGAATTATATATTACCAAGGCAAGAGAGATGGAAACGAATAATAAGAAGGTAAAATTTATTTCTTGGGTGTACTTTGTTACTTGTATCTGTTGTTTCTTAGCGTAACATACTTTTATTTTTATCTAATTGTAAATTTCAGTTTACATTTAAGGATTTTCATTTATTTTTATATAGTTGTAAATTTCAGTTTACATTTAAGGATTTTAATCTTTTTTAGTCAGTTTAATATACATATATATGTATATATATAATTTAATCTTTTACAGTCCATTATTATATATGTGCCCATGCCAAAATTGAAGGCCTTCCAAAAGATCCAAACAAGGTTGGTACGTGAATTGGAGAAGAAGTTTTCTGGCAAACATGTAATGTTTGTTGGTGAACGTAAAATTTTGCCTAAACCAACAAGAAAAACTCGCACCAAGAATAAACAAAAGCGTCCTAGAAGGTATAAGAAAGATAAATATTAAAATTATTTGTTTATGCAAAAATTGATGAGTCTAATCTAATTATATTATTTTTAGCCGAACATTAACTGCTGTGTATGATGCTTTATTGGAAGATCTTGTTTATCCTGTGGAGATTGTTGGCAAGCGTACCAGAGTTAAGTTAGATGGATCTCAAGTGATCAAAGTTCATCTTGATAGGAATGAACAGACAAATATTGAACATAAGGTATATTAATTTATTCTTAAATTTATAGAAAATATTGTGTTGTGATTATATACATACGTATAACTAAATTTCATGTTATTCTTTTAAATAGGTTGACACTTTTGCTTCAGTATATAAACAACTAACCGGACGGGATGTCACATTTGAGTTTCCTGAATCTTATGTATAGTTTATTAAGAAATAAAAGTATTTGAGGTCTTTCGACTTAAAATCTTGACCAAAATTTTTGGTTTTGACTTCTGATGTACAAATATCCGAATAATATATCCTGCGGAAACCCTTGATTTGGATACGACAGAATAATAAAATTTATAAACAAAATAAATTATATATTTCAACTTTTCTCCTGTACAATATATTTTAAATGAGGTTACGATAAAGTACCGCGAACATGACCATGGATGACTTCTGTACAAAGATGTGCAAACGCTGTGCGGTAAGGAGCAACGTGACAACCAATCACTTTGTCGTTCTACCATAAGACCGAGGAGTTTATTGGCTATCGTTTTATTCCTAGTCACGCTGTAAAGAACTGCGTTCTATGATACCGACTAGCATAGTTCGCCATATTAAGCCAGCGGCACACGATGCTTGTTTTGTGCTGGATTGCTTGCTGGATGAAAATACTGTGTTTTGATTGGTGCATTTCCATCCATTTTCGTAAATGTACCAATCAGAACGCAGTATTTTCATCCAGCAAGCAATTCAGCACGAAAACAAGCACCGTGTGTCGCTGGCTTTATATTTAACACGTGTGTGCATATAAAGGAGTTCGTCGTTCTGTTTCTGTAAAGATCCAAGATGGTAAGTTTGCTGTGATTTTTAAATTGAGGAATCTGTTTGCATCGCGCAAATGTGATGTAGATTTTTTGGTCGTACAAAAAAAATTCACAGTGCAAATTTTCGTGCAATTGTTGGTACATATATCACACGTTGAATATATTCTATCGCGAGAAAAACAATATATTTCAACGTGCCGTACCGTTCCAACCTGTTTCCTTTATTCAAGTTCGCGGCTTTTTATATATTTGTTAGATTGTGATCATTGATGAAGTTATTTTTTTACTTACAAATTAATTTTGTTAAAATAGAAATTGCAATAATTTAGCTAATAAATGTAATTTGATATTGCATTTTTAATGTGATATATAATTGGTTAATACCGTTTGTTTTAAAAGGATACATAGGTGGATTAACGTACTCGCCTGTGTACGTTACTTTTTGCCATAAATGTTATTATAAATATTTATATCCATTTAATAAGATTTGTAAAGACTAAATTTTTTTTATGAATGTTTGGTTTCTGAGATATTTAGAGAATCCAGGACTTTTCGTATATCATCTGTGTATAGTGCATGTATATATATATATATTTTATATTCTCTACATATTATATTACAAAGTATTTTTCCTCTCAGGCTCGTGGTCCAAAGAAACATCTCAAGCGTCTCAATGCACCTAAGGCATGGATGTTGGATAAACTGGGGGGTGTATATGCTCCTCGTCCATCCACTGGTCCTCACAAACTCAGAGAGTCTCTTCCTTTGGTTATTTTTCTCCGCAATAGGTTAAAATATGCTTTAACCAACTGTGAAGTTACTAAAATCATGATGCAGCGATTGATCAAAGTTGATGGAAAAGTTCGTACTGATTCCAATTATCCTGCTGGTTTTATGGGTAAATTTTTGTTATTTTATACAATTTGTATATTGTTTTTATGCTATGAGATATTTGATCAAAGCAGTAGTGTTATGATGAAAAATGACTTATAAAATACATAAAAGCATTAGTAATTTATGTACAAATGCAACGTGAAGAAAAATAGATTAATTGTTGCAGATGTTATCACTATTGAAAAGACTGGCGAATTTTTCCGATTGATCTATGATGTGAAGGGTCGTTTTACTACACATCGTATTACTGCGGAAGAAGCCAAGGTAATTCATCAATATCATATTTATTCTTTTATATAATAAAAGTATTATGTTTTACCTATATAACATTGTTTATTCACAGTATAAATTGTGCAAAGTGAAGCGCGTTCAAACTGGCCCTAAGGGTATTCCCTTCTTAGTAACGCACGATGGTAGGACTATTCGTTATCCTGACCCGGTCATAAAAGTCAACGATACTATTCATCTGGATATTGCCACTGGCAAGATTTTAGATTCTATCAGATTTGATTCTGGTAATATATATTGAGTATTTTGTACATATCATACAGAGAAGAAAGAGAAAGATATGAAATTTAACTTTCCTTTGTAGGTAATTTGTGCATGATTACTTCTGGAAGAAACTTGGGTCGTGTTGGTACCGTCGTCAACCGCGAACGTCATCCTGGTTCTTTTGATATCTGTCACGTGAAGGATGCACAAGGACACACCTTTGCCACAAGGTTCGTACGAGAAAAATGACAGGCTTGTGTTTACGAATTGAAAAATTTATCAGATATTTCGATTTTCCTTCAATGAAATAAGTGACGTCTTTTTCCATGGTATATTTTATCTCATAAAACAGATTATTTCAGGTTTTTTTGTTACTGTTAATCAGTGAGTTCTCATAAACAACTCACACTTCGATTTGCATTTTAAAGTTTATAGAGTTATTTTTTATCAATACTGGGCCGTATCGAAGCTGTGATGCGTACTACTTATTGCGTGTAACAGTCAAAAACTGGCCGATATCAAATTCCTTCACTTTATGGTCACTGACTACCGTTATTACTTCGGTTTTCCGTATTACCCAAGGAGGAGACAACATTGTCTTTTTTTGCAAAGCATGATTAGTAGCAGGGTTGGGAAAGTTACTTTCTAAAAGTAACTCGTTACCGTTATCATTACTTTCGGTAAAAAATAACTCGTTACCGTTACTCGTTACTGATCTTAAAAAATAACGCGTTACCGTTACTTGAAAGTAACGATATTTTATTTCGTTACTTTCCGTTACTTTTGTAAATCCAGGATTATAAGAAAGGTGCTAAGACAAGATATAAATCGGACATAAGAATTAGATTAGAAATGTATATATATATTTATTTAAATATTTTTATTATTTTATGTTATTAAGTATTGTACTTAATGAAAAGTTTCTTAATTAGTGGATATGAATTTAATATTTGGACATTAGTGCCTGTTGACTTTAAAAATCTTTGCCATTCATCATAGGCAGATTTCTCATTTGATGTTTGCTATTTAAAATTAAAAAAGTCATTGTTATTATTGTGCTTATCAGGCATCAAAAAATTTTTAATTGAAGGAATTCCTTATAAATCTTCTAAATACGTTTGCGCAAGTTTTCACTTATCTTCAGCTAACCAACTCAATTTGGGATGCAAACAGCTGGCAATTATCAATTCTTCTTTTTCGAGTGTAGTACAAAACCTAAAGTTAAATCAAAATTAAATATGAACATATTGATTTTTCTTTTTGATCAGATGAATGTTGTTTGATGAACATATGTATTAACCAAATTACACCAATTTACCTATTTTTTTAAACCTTTCTGTATAGCTACGGCCAATGGATGACAATATGTGAGTCCATCTTTATTGGTTCTCATTACATTCAGCATAAAACAAAAAATGCATAGAAATTAAATACAATTAAGTTTAATTTTATAAAAATTAAAAAGAAACGATTGAAGTAACGGACGTTTTGTTACTCGTTACAAAAAAATATATCGCTGTTACTTTTTCGTTACTGACACCAAAAAGTAACGGCATTTACCTAATCGTTACTCAAAAAAGTAACGATATCAGTAACGGCGTTACAAATAACACGTTACTTCCCAACCCTGATTAGTAGTATGTAATTGCAGCTTCGATTTCGACATTTTTTTACACAATATAAATTGTTCACTTAGGTTGAATAACGTCTTCATCATTGGTAAGGGAACAAAGGCTTACGTAAGTTTACCAAGGGATAAGGGTGTGAAGCTATCAATTGCCGAAGAACGTGACAGAAGATTAGCAGCGAAAGGAGTGAATTAAATGAGACATAAGTATAATTTATATATAATGTGAGATATATTTACAAAAAAGAATAAACCGCGAGGTTGTCTAAGTAATCTTTATCAGAAATATTTTTGGCACTTATTCGTCCATCCATCAATCTTGGACATAAATTGCTATAAAAAACATTGGGAGTTATGATAGGATCTTTCATTATTTAGGAAAAAAATATTGGATTTTTCTACTAGATTGATAAATGATAAAATAATTTTATTTGTGAATACTATCAGCTGTATTCAATGCTAAATGTGAATATAGCGTGTTCTAATTAAAAACTAAAGATCTTTGTCATTAAACCCATCACTTGAAGAAGCTCCTTTCACGTGCTCCTTTCACTGCTATTAAGTCGTACAATCGTTTTATCGAGGATAAAGTGATTTTTTTCCATGATCGAAAAAAGTGATCCTTAAAGTTTTTATGCGTCATCCAAAATTTCGGTACAGTTTGAAGATAAATCTTCCGCTTTGCTGTCAAATGAAGAAACTTGAAAATAAAAGAGGCATCTGCCGTTGAATTGGATTATTGAAAAGCAAGGATTCGAGTAAGATTGCCATTGAGGTAACTCGTATAAAATACAACAAATATTGCAACAAAGAGACGCAATGTATTACATTATACATTGTACGTAATTATTTGAAGTATTTCTTAAAACAGTGTCGTATGACGGACAAGCATGATAAACAACGAGTAAATCCGGAAATTACGGAATTAAAATAAAGGGGAAGGAAAAAATGCAGACTTCTTGACATTCACTTTTCTGGCAGCCAAACTTCTGTGTTCAGGTCAAGCGCATTTTGCAGAAGGTTGTTGTACTGTTCGTCCTTTAACTTTTCATTCCTTTGTTGTACTTTCTTCGCGGCTTTTAAGTATCTGTCAGAAAGAAGAAAAACATATACGTGTGATGCACAGGTAACAAAAGAGGAGGAAGTCCTAATGAGAAGATGAAAGCGTTTACTTTCGTATACAAAGGACCATATTCTTGATTTCATTTTCGATCGTCCTGGGCGATGGTCTCGGCGCGTATTCCGTACTTTTGACATGTTTCGATCGAGTGAACGGACATATACGAATCCACCCACCCTCCCGTACGCAGGGCGCTCTCCAGTCTTTACCGTTGTCCCAGATTGGTGACGATGCGTGATCTTCGATCGTACTTCCCTTAAATCCACGGCGTATGCACTTGTCCATCAACAGCGGATTGTAACGAGACCAGGCAGTTGGGTAAACTTCCGGCGTTGATTGTCTCAGCTGAGAGGAAGGAGATCGTAAAGTTAAATTTGATATACTCTTTGATATACTTAATAATTAATATAACATTTAAAAATTTTCAAACATCTCTTATCATCGTCGTTTATCTTCGTCTCATAACTTGGAATGTTATTTTTGATGCGATCAGCCGGCAGGCTACAGTTACCAAGTGAAAAAAGTTCCTTCGTACCGTGGCTCGGGTCTCCGGGGAGAGATTTAGAAAAGCGTCGGTCTCCCGTTTCGACTTTTTTTTCGTGGAGCGGCCGAATTTGAAAGACACTTCGTCCTCGTCCTCGATGCGATGATCTCCGGAGGACCAGATTGTGAATAGGGATAGTCCGGTGTTACACACTGGAAGACCTAATAGATCAAATAGATCGTGCAGTAGAGGCTTCTTCACCTCTGAATCGACTTCGCAATCGTTGCTCAAAGCTGGACTCAGATTCACCTGCGGAACATGCGCGGGGATTTAATTATTTTATGTGATTATTTCGAGAATGCTGTCGTGTCTGCATATACCGACTTCTAAGAGCCACGGCTTCAGATCTTCGTCGATTAATACATCGAAGCCGAAGAATTCGAAACAATTCGAGGATCTGGGAATGCTCGCCACTTGACTTAGTATCGTTAGCGTCACCAGACACGAGATTCTCTGCCAAAGAATCCAGTCGAAATATCCCGACTGCTCGAAGTATCTTCTCAGCTGTCGAAACGTCCATTTGCAACCTACGTGCGAGGAGCGGGATGAAAAAATTTTACCACCTTCTATCCTCGGAAAAATGCTTGCCTTCAACCTTTGCGTGCTATTATACGGAGGAAAACTTTTACAGCAAAAATTGGCGCAGAATTTTCTATTTTGTAACATATCGACATTCTGCCTTATTTCATTTTCTTTTCCTTTCACACACGCGCTATTTGTATTCTAAAAACTGAAGTCTTGAAAAATTTAGCACATAGGCATATGTTCCTCAGCGAGATAAATTTTCCATGACAATAGGAAGCAGAACAAAGGTAAAGAAAAAAGTAACTCAAGGGATAATAATGCAAACAGTGCAACATCAATCGATGCATTATTTAAGATTAAAATTAATCTTTGAGAATTGAATTGACGATTTTATATTCGTGATGAATGAAGCGAAACGATTTAAGCAAAATGTGTCCGAGCGCGACGAGATCGCTAGCGTCGTATGAAATACCGGCACCGATGCGTTCTTTCTTCTCCGAGTATCCTGGTCCCAGTTTGTTCAGGGAAAAATTCGTGAGGTGTCGGAAAGGGTCGTCCAAACGTTCCAGGGAGAACTTCTCGGTGGCGAAACGTGCCAGGCCTTCTTTGTACAGGTAGATCGTCAACGGGCGATACGACGGCACGCACACGTACAGGCGAAGATCGAATTTGTAACCGCCGATCAGCAGAGGATTTTCAATATATCTTTGCACAACCGCGGCGTTATCATACGACAGATCGCTTAATTTCTAAAAAGACACATTCAGGCGATTTGTACGAATTCGCTTGTCGTACATTTCGCAGGATAATGGGGACTGATGAAGATGTTAATCTCTTTCTTGGTGGAATTTCATTCGAACGTGTCTCGTAGTATTTTTCAACGCTCGCGTTCAATGTGTTTCTCAAGTTTTTTTGTTTATTGTATAGTTTATATTTCAGTATATTATATTATTTAATTATTAAAATATCTAAATAAAATATGTAAAACCTCATATGAAACTACTCAGTCTCTTATCTTTTTCCGGAACCTTTTTGTCTCCTTTTTCTTCCTCGGAATATTTTGAAGAGATCATTGTGCAATTTTATCTTGTTAATATGAGAGATTCAGGCATTTAAGGGGTAGTTTTTGGATCGCGTATTATATCGTGTATATGTTTACACTTACACGAAACAAGAAAATCCCTCTCCCTTGACTCTGGCCGACCGGCTTGCAGATCCAAATCTTATCGTCCTTTTCGCAACGACTACATTCTTCGGCCAATTTCGTGTATTCGGAGGGCAAGTTGTATCCCGCGGGACTAATTAATATCATATTATTAGCAGACAAGCCCAATATCAATTCTAATCTGTCACGCATATTACCTGAAGTCATAGATCGAACCGTGGACTTTCTTCATGCACTTCAAGTGGCGTATCAGTTTATCCTTCCGGCAGATGGAATTTCCTTTCGGTATCCGATTGACAAACTACGAGCGAAGAACACACAAAGCCCGACATATTATATTCTCACTAATTACTTTCGTCGCTTAAGTTAACGAATAATCAAGAGATAAAGGAATTAGCGAATTTTGTTAGAATTCTTTTTTCATCCGTGAACTGGTTTTTGATATTATAAAAAACTGCCCACTCTCTCAGAACTTGGACCGTTGTACGCGTTCGCGTTTTCATTTATACATGTGACATGAAAATCGCGATTGGAAATTTTCAACTTTTAATTTCTCAACGACGGAGTTATGGAAAATTAGCGGACTTAATGTTGGAATTAGCCGACAAGGAGGGAACCGAAATTTCGGCGACGATCGTATAGTATTCGGGAGGGGTCTCTCTCCCTCCTGGGCGTCGGGCTTGTTTACATTTCGAGCGGATAATTCGAGATTTTTGGGCGGACTGCCTTATTACCTGCCAGGGGAGTAATGGCCTGTAATGCGACGTGGGGAAACCGCCGGACCGCCACCATAAGTTCCATCGATCTTTGAATACATTATTTTCGCCGGCGTACTCCCGCCATCCGCGTTCCGTGCAAACCTGTAGAAAATATTCGCGATAAGCGAAAGGGCGGTTGATATTGCTCGGGCTATTCCGAGGGCCAAAGTACTATTTATATAACCCGTCTCAAATGTCGATACGTGTGAGAGCTCGAGTATTTTTCTCGTTGCCAGACGGCAACGGAGGCAATCTCTTCCCTCCTTTCGTTCCATCCCTTGCTCTCCTTCCCGTTACTCGCGGTGATATAAAACGACGAAGCTTTAACACACCGATCGGCAAACACGGGTTACCCCCGTGTGATGCGCGAAAAGGAAAGTTTTCGAGTCCGTGTGTGTAGCGGCCACAAGTGAACGTTCGCGCAGATTTTCTCGTTTTCGCACACATTAAGAGGAGAAAGTACCAAGCTGCATGAGCTAATTATGTGTTGAAATTAAATAAGAGTGGTGAAATTAGGTGGCGCGATTTTTTTTCTAACATTGATTTAATACCGTGTGCGTTTGTCGAGTCCGATTCATCCGGATCCTCGTCCGGGTCAGGACTCGTCGGGACCATCCTCGGCCATTCCGAGGGGAAGGCATACAGAATTACATCGCACTACGCAATTCGAAGTTCCGGAACTTCCGCGGGCGCGAAAGTGCACGAAAATAGCGCGACTTGATTATTGTCGTATTATTAGAACATTAGGAATGACTGTGCGAGAGAGCATGCGCGCGAAATCAGAAGCGAGTCAAGGCCTCCGATTGCAATGAAATCGGCCCGCTTTAACACGCCGCTTTAATTATGCGAGCACGAATAAATGAGGAAAGTCCCTCCCCCGAGGAGAGCGGCTAATTCGGGAATACGATCGGGAATACATGCATCCGCGCACGCTAATACGACATCGATAAAGTTATCGTCGCGACGTCTAATCATGATTAGATCGCGATGTTACCTGCGACGCGTCACATCGACAAAACTTGCGCGAACATCTTGACGCTCAGTTACTGGACTAATTTTTTTTTAATATAAAGGTTATTATACAGCCAACTGTTTTCGATTAACTAGCAATTTTTTTTATCTATCTGTTAAAATATCCATTTAAAATTTCATCTAATTAAAATGTCTATTTGTTATTTAAATCTTGGATTTTGCCATTATCATGCACCTAAATTTCAGATACATTTTTGCCTTCGTCGTATTCGTTTATATTTGTTTAGTGACTAAATGCACTCGCCTCTCTCGTAATCTAATCATTGTCTTCCGATGAGAGACTCGAATTCGCGAAGTTTTCCTGGACACATGGCGCTTATGCAGATTTCCTCTCGTGGCGCGCGAAGAGAAATTCTGTCATTATTTAGATAAGTCAAGATACGTCGTTATCGTGATTTCGACTAATCGCGCGTTGTGCATGTCGGCCCCGCAGCCGTTCTCGGAGTCTTGCGCGGGCTTATTTTAGGCATGTCTATGCAAACACTCGCTGACTCGCGAATTTTACACCTCTCCTCCCCCCTGTCACTGGCAAACTTCCATTTTTTCAGCTGTCCTTCCGCGAACAACCCAATTTTTTTCGTTCTCCATTCCGTTCGGCTGCAGTTAACGATTAGAGGGGGTAAGCGAGCAATTGGCTTAATAAATGATGTCTGTCACGAGCCAGGCAATTTCGCAGAGCGTCGCGTCCCCATGTGACGCTTGACATTCAAGCGCTTGCGGGCTTCTCGGACGTGCAAAGCGGGAAACGGGGGAGAAAGAAATAACGAGTAGACAACGATTTCACGACGATCGCGATGGGTCCCTGTCGAAATTGCCGAGAACAGCCGTTGCATAAAGGGCTGCGCGAAGAGTCGAGGTATAAACACGGAGGTTAATTACGTCGAACCCGCCATCGCGCCCAGATTATTGCAAATTCGAAACGCGGAGTTCTCGTGCCGCGGTCGACTCCATCATGCGAAGCGGACCGAGTCTTCTGCACATTGTTCCGTTTCGGCGGAACTGTTTCGCGATGTATCATGCGCGAAACAGCTCGTGGAAACAACTCGCGAATTCGCGATCATTCTTAACGAGGAGAGTAGATTTTTCCTCGTTGAAATCGCGGGCGAATGACTGGAGAAGTGAATTCTCCCCTTTCATTTGAGTCTTCCAGGCTTCTTATTATTCCGTTGAAATTCTGTCTTCCGAGACGCGATCACAGACGAAATTATCGAACATCACAGATTTGCGGCTGGCGACGCCTTCCCGCGAGATTTCATCCGGGTAGAGAAGTTCACCGCTCGAAGTTCACACCGCGAGGTATAGCGATCGCTAAAATCAGGAACCGGAAGTTGCGAACAGCACTTTACACTCCCATTAGCGGAACTTTACAGGTTCGTTAATTATTTTTCTTTCGTTTACAGTTTAGGTACAACGGCGCGCACATAACGAGCGGCCATTGAGAAGCCGAACGATGAAATGGCGTGAAAAATTGCAAGAAACGGCGCAGCCTCGCGACTCAAAAAGCTCGCTCTCCCTCTTCCTCTCCTCCGCTTCTTCTCCCTTTCCCTCCTTTTTTTCTCTTACCGTTGCATGTCGCACTTACCTCATCGTCGCGTCTAAAAGCGGCGAATGCACGCAGAGGCGCGTTGCATTCGTCTGTGTTGTTCGCTGCGGGTATGCACGTATGTATCGCGTCGTACCTTGAAAAGTATTTGGTTCAAGGCCGCGTCTAAGTTTGTAACACCGTGTATGGCGAACAAATTCCAGGGGACACAAAAGTCGCGAAGCCGAAAGGTGCGGGCGCAGGGGTGAGAGGGCGAGGGAAGAGGGCGGCAGGGCTGTCAGAACTGTTCGACATGTGTACGTAGGAGTTGAATGTGTATACACGTGAGCGTTTCCTTATCGGAGCCGACGACCCTTCGCGTCGAATCGAATCGATCTCTCGGGGAATCATTCGCGTTGCACACCGTGCCGCCGTTGGCGAGTGTGCGGGGATGTGCGGCGATTGTTCGTGTGAAAAGCAAAGAGTGACGGGTGGATGAATGTGCCAGGTCATGTGCGAAAGGTCCTCGTCGTTTCTCTCTCGCAGCAATCTGACATAAAGGCCCTCTCAGCAGATGCGGTTAGTAAAGGAGGATAAAGGCGAGGAGAGCCAGATCTCGCAGGGAAAATAATGGGTTCACCAATAAGTAATGTCGGATTTTTCCGTGAAAGATCGTTTCTGCTGTTTTTCAAACAAACGACTATTCTGTCTCATAAACTGTCTCATAAAACGCACGTATAATCTAAAAGCTGAGATTTTAACGTGTAATTTGAAAAAAAGTTCATTACATTTGGTTAAATTTTTTTAGTGCTTATGTTGATTTGGAGATTATTTTTTTCTTTACCGAGAAAATTTTGACATTACCTTTTAGCCAACCCAAGATATGGCCAATGATTTTTCGAAATTCTTAAGGACATTTTAATGAATTTGCACGAGAGAGAACGACGAGATCGGCGATTTTGCGAAAACGGACGCAAATTCTCGGATAGAAAATGAAATTTCTGTCCGACCGGTCGTACCTGTACAAGTAGAAGCGGCCCGGTGCTGTTCTCATTTAGCCTGAAGACAAAAGGGCCTTCCACGCACTTCACTGCCATGCCGAAGCATCGTACTACCTTGATATACGATAAATCGCGAGCCTCCAGTTGGCTTGCGCCGATGTCACATTACACTTCAGACGAGTATCGGCATGCGACATGCACTGAGAACAAAAGAAAACCATATCAATCGAATGCAGTTTTGTATTTCGTCACTTCGACGAGAGCTGACCACGCGACTTGTTCGATTTTGCATTGCCTCGCAATGCTGCCAAAAGCCACTCACTGAATTCATGCTCTTCTTGTCGGAAAATATAATGCTTCATATTTTCTCATCGCAAAACGCGAATAAGTCGTTACGGAAAAATCAACAATATTACGCAATACCTTGCTTATTACCAATAAAAGCTGAATAGAGAGCACGATCTCATCATTTTGACAACAAATAACGCGATGGACAATGAAACTTCGCCGACGCCGAAGTTCAGATATTTTACGCAATGAGAAGCTGGCAAAGCTGGCTGGACTTTGCTCTTTCATTTCATTCCGTTCTCGCGTAAATATATTAAAATACATTAAGATGATTGAATAAGAGAGAGAACGAGGTCGATGAAAAAATCACGCCTGGAATAATTACTTAATTTGCCGAAGGTGTGTCAAACACGACGTGTTTTTGTTGACACGTTGGCGACACGCCTGCGTGTCGAGAGCCGCGTCGTGCAGGTGTATCACATCCGACAGTTCGGTGTGAAGGGTCGAATTTCAAATGTGAAGCGCGCGTAAATCCCATCTACGTTTGTCGGATCCTTCGTGCAAGCGAGAACAAAAGAGAAAGCCAGCACGTCTCAGCAATCCCCGCGATCATATTTTTGCAGGTAACACACATTTGTCGACAATCCCGATCTTCACACGGCCGGCAAAGTGTGAATCCACTTCAGCTTGTGACCTCGGAAACACCTCGCACACTGTATTACCTGAACATATCTGCGAAACAGCCGAAAGCTTCCAATTGTGCAACACCGTTTCCGTCCATTGAGCGTCCCAGTTACCTGCGAGCGGGCAATTAATGGCCTGTTATTCGCGAACTCGTACATATCGAGCGACGAGAAATCATTCTCAGCGTCGTAAACGCTTTTCGATTAAACCTCAGACGAAGTCGCTTGAAGAGCTCAAGGAATTTACACAAACTTACAAAATGTTCAACTTCGGCTCCGCTTCAACTCACTTTCAACTCGATTTCGTTTACTCAACTGAAGATTATATAATTCCTCGTGACTGCTCTCTCGCAAATGTTAATACGATTACGTGTGAAGACAGCGCGGAAGATATTTATTTACCGTGCAAGGATAATCGACATCGTGCCGTTGTAAATGCCGAATTATAAATGTCGCTCGTGACAAATCGATCCGGCGGCAATTTTTTCGAACTCGCGACTCACCTTACGATCGTGCTCGGCAGGGACGACATCGCCGGCGATTACGTTACTTCGACTCCAATCGCATTGAGAGTCATCCGTGCTTTCGATACATCGAAGTTCCTCCCTTCCTTCTCTCTTTCTCTTTGGCTTTCTTTTATTTTCTCGCTCGCGAAGTTTTGCCGCCTTGATAGCGGATCCGGACAAGGCGGGATCTCGATTCTCACTGGTGCGCGGCCACGTTCCGGTCTACGCAATCGCTTTGACTCGTTCGCAGGTGCGCAGGTTACCTGCCGGTGTGTTCGCGCGGCCCGGGTTGCTTGCAGCTTTTATGCGCTTCCCGCGCGGCCGCCGCTGCCGCGCGACCCGGCAAGGACGTCGGAAGAGTGCCGGATAGGCGATCAGAGGCGGCCTATTGGTAGGGTCCGAGGGAGTTTAGATAATACGAATTTATAGAAGGTTATTAGAAGCACGCGACGCGCGCCGGCTCGTCCTTCTCCGTCAGCTGTGTCTCTATGTGGCAGCCCACACAATGAAGCGCTCTCCGGGTCCTCGGAACTGAAACGCTTGTAATGTAGTTAAACGAAGGGCTGTAGTTCCGAGGGGCTCCTACGAGCTAGCGAGCTGAGATTCTGGGAGTATACTTGTGTGTAGGTGTGAGAATGTTAAATATAAAATGAAACCCACAACACACGGAAAGAATACTTTTTACCACATGAAATTTTTTTCTTCCATTTTATTACGCTTTCTGCTGTCGCTAAAGCTGAACTTACTAGAGAGTAGTAACCCAGTAAAGTGTTTCTCAATGGTAGCTTCTTCAGTTCTTAAAATATAAGCAGTGCATATGAAGCCGAAGGATATAAAACTGAGGCGGAATATATGAATGATATGAAATACTTTATTTTGTATAAATATATAAAGGATATAAATATGTAAATATATGTATGAAACTGAGTCATTGTTTAACCTTACCTCTTACCTTACCTTTAACGATCGCGGATGTTCTAACGGAGGTTTCAAGCTCGCGAGCGGGATTGAGCTTTCCACCGACGACTTCGTGCTCTTTTATACGAAGGCCGACGCGACGCACTTTTATAATGGCGTATAATTGTAATTGATATTTACGAGGATTCCGCCGGAGAGAAGAAAACATTTCTCGAGAACGTCACGCGACGCGCAGACACACGCGGGCCGCTAATTGGCAAGTTCGTGAAAAAATATTTCAGCCCCGGCAATTATGTCTCATTAGAATGTCTGATTACTCTGCTTTCTCGGAACGCCTCTCGTTGCCGCGTAAGGATGTGCGACATGCTCGGCGATCAATCAGACGCGATGTCCTGACGATGTGCGAAGGACACGACTGCGGATTATTGAATATTATATTAAATGCTTGTATATGAAGAAAGAAATGAATACTGAATGTACCTCTCGATGTAGAAGAATTGACGAGAGGGAGGGAGGGGAAGAGAGAGAGAGAGAGAGAGAGAGAGAGAGAGAGAGAGAGAGAGAGAGAGAGAGAGAGAGAGAGAGAAAGGGAGAGGGAGGGAAAAAGAAGGTGGAAAAGAGAAGAGGAGAGAGTTCGAGCAAACGTAACTGACGTCGCCACGACGACGTCAAATGTCAAATGTCTCGCGTTAAATTAAATTCCTCGCTGTATGTACTTTTGTTTTTTCTTTCTTTTTTTCTCTTAATTCGCGAGCGACCGTGTAAAGGAGTAGTTGGGCGCTGGAATACTTGGCGTTATATTTAGAGTCGGAGCAGAAGAGCGAAGATATAGGCAAGGTTTCCAGTTACGGACGAGTGTATCGCGCGAACGAGTAATTTTCCGCAAAATTGCGAGAGAGGCTGCATATCGTGCTGAAGATCGCTCGAAAGTTGCGGCCGGGGCTGGAGAATCTCAGACGTGTATATATTCGAACTGGACTAATCACGTAAGAACTTGGCTGTTGCGATTTAGCGAAACTTACACCGTCGTGAGCCGATACGTTCATATTTTCGCCACTTTCGTGGCGTTTCTCAGCGAAGAACAGTCACCCAAGCCTGCGACGAAGCAGATTGAAATGTTTATGAAACGTTAGGAACAAATGTGGCAAAAAATGTGGCTCAAAACCAGGTTCTAATATCAAATTTTTATTTTTAACTTTTTATTTTTGAACGATTAAACGGTCAATTGCTTTAAATTTCCCATAAGGGGGCCAATTTTACATGAGAAAAGGTGAACAGTTTTCGAGAGGCCAGACTGAAATATTAAAAGCGAGCATCTATCCAATAAGTCAAGACTACACAAAACATTCTGAAGAGAAACGGAAGAACGTCTCGCGATCTGTCTTTGGAGGTAACCAGGTACCGCAAGGTCACGCTAATGATAAATCGATGAGAGAAGCGCGTTGCACAGTGTGGCTATTTCACGTTAAAGAGACTCTAATCAGTCCGATTGTTCTCGTCGAACGTATTCCTATTGCGCCCCTCGAGATCGACGATCGCGCGAGGACGACGTCGCGGACGTTGGGATACGTGGGTGCATCTCCTTGGGTGCACCTTCTGCATGGATTCGTCGGTCCCGAGTGTGAAATCCGCTCGCACGATCGATACTCCCATTCATCGAGGCAGGCTGCGAGCCAGTAGCTGTAAATAGCACTCGTAAATATTCCCGCGACGCCCGTATTTGTACTTTTATGGACGGATTCGCCGGATTTTTATTGTACACGTCGGCGCGCACGCGAGATACAGCCGCGAAAACTTCGCTCGGTCTGATAAGGAAACCTTGGAAACTGTTCCACCTCGTTTCGACGAGCCTCGGAGATTCTGCAGGATAGCTCGAGTAGCGAGTGCTTTCGTACGCGTATCGTCGCGCTTTCCCACGACCCAGACGAACCTTCGAAGAGAACTCGACATATTTGATCACGGTGAAGTAGAGTTCTCGATTGCTCATTACGATCGATAATAAATTTTCAGGACGCTTCAGCTCCGTGAAATACTCTATTCTACCTATAAAGACATGGAAACATCCCTTTTCCATGACGCTGCTCTTTGCTCATCTTGATACAGACGTAAAGCGAATAAAAATTGAGCATCTAGAAGAAGTTTTTATCACCGAATTCGCTGGCTCGAATTAAGAAGCTTGCTCAAAGCGAATAAAAGCAACACCGCGTAAAATATTCTAAGTTCTCCAATTCATTATTATTCAATTGAATTTATATCGTCGCGATCGCGCTCGCTATCGAAAAGTTGCACCGTTCGATATCGATTATTATCAATTAACGCGCATCAGCCTTCACGTCGATCGACGAGCGAAGATGGCTTCCGGGACGGCGCGGGCGCGCGGGAAGACGCGTGTTTGTTGTTTCTCTTAAAAGGTATAAATAGCGTGTGAGAACTTCGTCCTTCGCAAAGTCCTTCGCATGGGTCGCCCGCGAAACGAAGTGCCCGTCGAAAGCGCCAGCGACGTTGGATTCTCGATTCTTCGACGTGATTCGCGAGTTAGTTTCGAAGCGCCAAAGTTCGTCGCGTAGCTCTCGTGAAGCCTAAAACGCCGTTGAAGTGATCGCGATTGTGAGTGTGGTGTGCTGATATGAAGCGGACGATGGATACTGGACGAGCGACACGATCCTGATTATCCGGGATGCAGTAGTTAATTCATCGATGGAGCCGGCTGGAGACGTCGCTGGATGTCGAGGCGAAGCGGTGAGTGTACAGTTACAAATACTTGCGAAGCGTTACGCTTTATAACGTATTTATTGACGAAGTCGTGAAAATCGCGTTGATTTCTGATTGAGAATAAACGAAGGCAGTTGCACGCCTTTATTTACGGCTGTGAGGGATAATTCGATATCCCGAACGAAAGTGCGATATTTCACCATTATATCCTGGAGTTCAGCTAGGCTTTTCTAATTGACATGGATCGTAACCGCGCGGAGCTTAGGTTAGGTTAGGTTAGGTTAGGTTAGGTTAAGCCGGTAGAGAGTTCGAGGGGTCGCTTGCAAACGATAAATGGGATCACGTAAACGGCACACGGTAACGCACGCTTGCAGTGTTTGATAAACATAATAAGCAGATATACGAGATAGTATATACGGAAGAGAGAGTGTATGCAAAGCCCAAAATGGAAGATGAAATATATCCGAATAGAAAATTCTTCCGTTTCATATTATTTTGGCGAGGGGACTCGCGAGTGTCACGTATTTATGATAATATGGCAGTCGATGTTATTTATGATAATCCATGTATTTATATGATAATTCGGCGATCAATAGAAGTCTATCGCTTCTGGAGACACCTCGACGATGCCGACGCAAGACGAAGAGAGCGGGAGGAGGGGGAGGAGTTGGAGGGGCAGGGGGAGTTCAGATGTTGAAGTAGAGAGAATGATTCGAGTGAATACTTCGTTTTATTTTGTAAGCAACACGTAACACGCGCATACAGAGGCTTGTGCGATGCACGGCCGGTACTTGGCCGAGAAAATCAACGTTACAATTTCGTGGTCCGCGCCGGCTGTACGATTCTCAAAGATCGAACGGCGGTAATCGATCGTCCGATCGTTCGTCGTCGTTCTGTTCGAAGTCAAGTCTCTTTCGCACAGCACTTTGCAGCTTTACTCTTTCTCTCGTTTTGCTGTTTAGTACTTTTATACGGCGAATCGTCGCAAACGCAGCTCAAAACACTCTCTTATGTGCTATATTTATATGTAGGATATTATTATTATATATTACCTTCCACAAGTCGACGAGTTCTGTCGAAATTTCTCGTACGTGAAATTCCTCTTTCTCTCACTCACTCTTGCTCATTCTCTCTCTCTCTCTCTCTCTCTCTCTCTCTCTCTCTCTCTCTCTCTCATCTTTCAGTCGCTCACACTCACTCGAAAAAAAAGCAACGATTATGCAGTGACAGAAGCTCGCGCAGATGGCACAGAAATCGGTAACCTCGTCTAGAAGTAACGTAATATGGCAATCGTACGTTCGTCTCGTTTGTGTTCGGTCGCTCTTTCTTCGTCAAATGGAGTCCCCAGACCGACGTTCGCTCCCCGCGCGTCCTCGTGCCCCGAAGAAGAGTTCATTAAAGCTGAAATGAGAATGCCCACCCCCGCTTGGCTCTAGGTAATATCGAATGTCGAATTAAATCTAAGACTTCTCAGGAGTTTGATTACTCCCGTGTGGTGGGGCTGTGCAAATTGGACTTGTCAAGAACTTGCGGGACGTCGGAGATCTCGGAAATTTGAAAACGAATTTTCAAAATTGGAGAATTTGAAAGCGTGAGCGTTTCCGCGAATTGGAGAATGTGAATCCGTCTCTGGTACGCGGAGAAGTAAGCTCGACTCGTGTAACTGAGAATTTCTGTTGCTCGGGACGAGCAGACGAGGACTCATTGAAGATTCTTATAGGTTTCTACTTAATCATCTCAAGCAGCTTTTCAGGCGGCCGAACGTTCGTTTACGGTCGCGGTAACGGAGTTACCGTTTCTCGTCATGTTGAGTTTTCGTCTGGTCCCTGCTCTTTCACGGTTACACGAATCGCTATTGTTTCTCCTCGTGCAATCACGCCGGGGACATTGTTACCGTGCGAATCTCAGCCTTTCGTTCCTCCGCAACTAGCGGATCGATCCGGCCGATTAAATAAAAGCCCGATGCATGCTGAACCTGTTATCAGGCTTGGCTTTAATCGGCCGATTTCAGGGTACGGCGGACTTGCGGATGACTTACGGCGAGGTTTGCATGCGCTAAGAATATACGTCTGATTCCGGTCGATTTAGTACAGCTATTAAGTGTCTTCGACGAATACTTGTTAGTCCGCATCTGAGAATCGCGCACAGAATGTCGGCTCTCATAAATTAATAGAAAATCACTCGCTACCCTCCCTCCCTCCCTCCCAATTATAAATTAAGCGATACTCGCTCGCTGTTAATGCGAGTAGTATTCGTAAGATGAATACAAGAGCATCGGGTGATCGTTCCTTCGAGTGTTTGACTAGTATACCTTCAAACAAACGTTACTGCGACGTTCCTCGTCTCAGTTGTGTCGGGAGAATTGCTCCGAGCGAAAATATTGGTCTTTCCGCCATGTATAAAAGCTAAGGAAGAATTATATTACGCGTTGGCGTGAAGCCCACACGACCGCTCGTTGAAACGAAATTGTTGCGGCTATCGAATCGTTCCAAAGGAACTTTGATACGGCAGGCGGGTTAAATCTCGTAAGAGCAATCAACAAACGTCGAAAGTATCGGTCAATTGAGCGACATTACTCGAACTAGAGCTCGTCTTAATTACTACCGTCGATCGCCGCGATGGAGTCACATCGTAGACTCACGTGAAAGTTCGATACATTTCCTAGTCGCGCATAATTTTTATTGTCCGAGAAAACCACGCGAATTACACGCACGGAGAGAAACAACTCCGTTAGTGTAACTGGATTGTCGGGGACCAGGTCTGAAGAACTCGGTTGTAGAGACGGAGAAAGCTTCTACATCTGCAGCAAATTTCTATTCATTCTTAATTGATTACTCTTAGTCATCTCGATCGAGTACAAATATCTTAAATCGCGCACGGAGAAAAGAGCTTCCTCGTCAACTAAATCTTGTTTTCTCCGACCGTAAAATGTGTCTGGCTCGTTCACTGTCGCAGTAATGCCACCAATCACATGTTTCTCCGTGCGGTAATAGAAACATCGTTTCTCGTCACCGAGTTCCCTCGTCTGGTCCTCATTCAGTTACACGAACTGAGATCTTTCTTCCATGCAATTCTCTCCTCATCGCACCCTCGCTCGCCATTCGTACTTTTCTTCCGATTTTATCCCCGCATCCACCTATTCGTCCATTCGCGTCTTTTTCTCTCTGTTTCCCTTTTCTTGTTTTTCGCCACGACCCACCATCGATCAACGATCTCGTCCGGACGGGGACGTCGACGCCGTTTCTGAAACGTTCACAGTGCGTGTTGCGTCCTGATGCACCTTGGAAGCACGTAGAAATATGCGAATAGTCCACGTAATAAACTAATTGCTCGGGTGACCTTTGCGTGATTTCGATCGCGGCGACTACGCCGTAGCGCAGCGTTTGTTGTGTATCGTTACGGGGGTTTCCTGCCACGAGCGATTTTACGAGGTATTCGCTAACCTCGCGAGGATCGCGATTAGACTGCCGTTCTCTGCGATTAAGCGGGAACCGCAAAGTGCAGAGGTACGTCGACGTCGACGTCGACGTCGACGTCGACGTGGTCGTCGTCGTCGTCGTCGTCGTCGTCGTCGTCGAACGTCCCCGACGTAATTAATCGCGCTGCTCGCTCGCTCGCAACGGTCGACGTTGCGCGATGCACGATATTCAATATTCTACGATGGTTGAACGCTCGTAAACGGAATATCGTCGCGATGTCGAGGATACGATGCGCCTCGGCGAAAGAAAGAAAAGAAAAATAGTCGCTTAACTTCGAAGAGCGCGAGTGAATTTATAGCACGAGCCGCGTAGCTGACGAAACGAAAGCTGACGAAACGTCTTTTTTTCGTTTGAAAGATATTTCTCACGCGACAAAATTACACTGGATTATTTTTTCCTTTCGATGCTGGTGTAAAAGTCGACGCACATGGCTGAATTTTCGCAAATCGGAAACGGAGAGTGGTAATGTGAGCTCTTCAGAGTTAGAAATGTTTGGTGCGCGGTCGAGGATGACCGATGGCCTCCTGCGCCATGTATTCTTAATTAAAAGCTAGATAATAAATATTAATTAATATCTCATAGCTGGACGACGCGCGGCAAAATTGTTCGTATCTCGACAAAAAGTAAACATCGCATAGAATCAATCGGGCTAATGAGTGTGAAAACACACGAGAGATATTATTACGGAACACCTTTCGATCGTCCAAATTCTTTTTTTAGGATTTTGTCTTTATATAATCTCATATAACTTTTATCTAATCTTCAATATGACTAGTGATTCTATGTAATTTTTTTTACCTAGTTTTCAAGAAAACTTTTATCTGTATTTTTTATCTGACTTTTATATTATTTTCTAAATAAATATTTTTCATGACTTCATAAACTCCGTAACTTATCATGATTTAACAAAAGAATATCTTTCTTTTTACTTTCCTTATATATTTTCTTCATTGCACTTGCTCAGGCATGAAAATCGTCCCGATTGATCTTATGCTCTTCGTAGTTTCGTACGATGTGGGTTGTTCGCGGGTTTGAGACAAAGGGTTAGTGGAGTGATCTCGGCCGGAGATACAGTAAAGAAGAAAATGTGGTCGCGATAAAAGTGATTCGTGCATTAACACCGTACGCTCTTCTTGCCCTTCTTGAACGTCCTTCGCTCGAATGTTTTCTTTCTCGCTATCTGCTCTTGCCCTTCCGTCGCCCCGTCGATCATCCGCGACGTTCGAGAGCGGATCTTAACGCGCGTGATTTTTGCAGAATGGGCGGCCGCCTTTCGCGTAGAAGCTTTGGCCCTCTAGATTCTTCTTGCACATCTGATGCGTCGATAAAAAGTCACAGTTATTTAGTATCAATTCTACGTTTTTTATGAGTGGGGAAGAGAGATATAATAGGTCCTCATAGATTATGAAAATCGTCAAATCGCCTCTGCAAGACGAACGGAAGTTCAAACGCAAAATACTGGCGTTTCGTTCTTTACTCACCGTGCAGTTGAAGCATTGGCTGTGGTAGTTGTTATTCAGGGCTTCCACCCAGCGATCACCAGCCTCGACTGGAAATCCGCACGCGAAGCATTTCGTGGTAAACAGCTCGTTCCAGTCTGTATTTAGAATGAAACCGTGATAAGTTAATTTTTGTAGCAATTGAATGACAAAGTAAACGAAGATGAGAGAGAGGGTGGATTGTGCTGTAGAAAGGAAACCTTATACAGTCTACTTGAGTTACTTTGGTGAAAATAAAAATTGAATGTATCAATTTACCAGAGTGGAATTTCACTCGAGGAAATTTAGAGATCAGAACGCGTTTCTTACATTGTTTAATCTATTTGAATTCAGAATTCAGGAATCGATCATTAAGAAATTGGAAAAACATGTCTGTATCATCGAATTCTTTTTCTGTAGATCAAATGCAACGAAACGTATAAAAATTCACGACTTCTCGTGATTCGATCCATTTTCAGCAAAAAATCGCTGCGCAAATAAGTAAAAATATTTTGACAATGTGTATCTGTGTTGGTACACTTCATATTGCATCATTACTTCGTTATCGTGATGATACTAACCAGCTTCGCAATAGGGCAATCCTTCCTCGAGGAAGAACGGACTGTTGCCGAAGAGTTTGCCGCAGTAGGCGCAGTTAAAGCATTCAGGGTGGAAGTGCTTTCCAATCGCGTTCAGGCAATCCTGAAACGAAGATCGAAGGGACAATTCATTTGAATTTGTAAACATCATCACGTCTCGCGTCGCGTCGCGTCACGTCGATGACAGCTGTACACGGCGATACTCACGCCCTTGATTTTGTTGTTGCACTTGTTGCACGTGGGCGCGATGAATTTCTCGAAACAGTACTCGCAGTAGAGCTGTCCCTTCTCCTCCACGAAGCCGATGTCCTGAAGCGGACGGCGGCATTGGGCGTTGACGCAGACGAAGTGATCGGGGCACCAGATCTGGCCCAGAGCGGTGATGAAGGGCCCTCTGTGCGTCACAACGCGATTGATTATGCGATTATCACGAAAACAATCTCGGACAGAGAGCGACAGCTTGAAAGAACAATTATATCCTGGCTACGAACAATGCGTGATCCGCTCTTGTCTTTTTCTTTCTTTCTTTTCTTTTGCAAAGCAGTAACGATAGCTGAGCAAGCAATGATTAGGTTTCATATTCGAGAACAAAAAATAAAACGTAGGCGTTAACGGACGTTCCGTGGACTAAGCGGAACTTTTATACGAACCTTATGCACTCTTTGTCGCCTTTACAGCACACAGGCTTAATGGTGAAACCATTCGACTTGTGATTAGTGTTTTCTTCGTTAGCTGTCAACAACATGCCATGGAAATCAGTAGTTAATTAGGTTACAGTTAGGCAACGATTAACATCTATATAAACGAATGCGATAAACTTCTATGTATAATATTATTTTTGTAAGCGAAAATATAGGGGAAACTCAAACGTATGCTTCAAATTGCAAAACAATAATATTATTGAGGAAGAAGAAATGGAAATAATTTCTCAATCACCTGACGCATAGTGTAAAACGTTTGCTCGCGAAATATTCGGAGAAATAGTTCGATATTTTCAAAATATGAGGTTCTGCTCTGTCTAAAGTCAGGTGATATGATTTGGAAATTGGCATTTCATCATACTGATCATGTGGATAAAAGTAGGGTGCGTCCATCATTCAGACATAAGCCATGTCGTATTTTAAGAAAAGCTGATTTAAGCACATCGAGACAATGTATAGCATCAAAGCTAATTCTCTGTACGGAACCTCCCAAATGAATCACGATCGGTGCCCCAATTCTCGGAACGACCAAAAAAGTGGCAGCTGAAAACCAGAAACAAACAGCACTACCCACACACACAAAGTGGGTACAAGTGCGAGCGAAGTGCGCTGAAATACAAGCGAAAAGAAAAACACACATTCAACGAGAAGAGGGCGAACACGACACAGAGATTGCGCAGGCATCTCGTCGCCGCTCGGCGCAATCGTGACCTATGAGTACCTGACGTATGAGTTGCAATGAGCGCACAGCGGTATACGCGATCCCGCAGCGACCGCCTGATTGAGGATCCCTCGTCCGCGTTTGGGCGCGCTGCTACCGGCGAACGATCCGCTCTTGGACGAGCCCGCACCACCGAGGCCGCCGACTCCGGCACCTAGATCCGGGTGGGACGACAAATTTGGTGGGTCTACTAAACTCTGGGTCTTACTAGAGGGGCAATGGATCTGGTCCTGGCAGTGGTTCTGGGTCTGACAACGGTTTTGGGTCTGACAGCGGTTCTGATCACGGCAACGATCGTCGGAGCCACAGTGGGTCTCCCGGTAGCTCTGGGTGTGGTGGTAAGAAGTCTCGGTATAGCTGTGGGTTTGGGTCGGAGCTGGGACTTGAGATGGGGCTTGTGGCTTGTAAAGCTGTATTGTGGGCAGGCTGCTGTTGGTAGAACCGCTCTTGGCGGTGAGTCGCGCAAGCTGACCGCTCAGATTAGTGCGAGGTTTGAAGCCCCGGGAGCACTGAGGGGGTGCTGGTAACGCAGGGTCTTCATCGGGAAACGGGATTTGGGGGAAAGGGAGGTTCGCCCTCAGCTGACTTGGGGATGGACCGGGCTTGGTGCAAGGTGCCACGCACACTGAACCGTCGGCGCAAGGTGCCACACAGATTCCGGAGTCAGGGCAGTTGTTTGGTATGTAATCGCAGGCGGAGTCGCGACCGCATGTGCCGGCCGGTTGGCCGCACATGCCGGTTTGTATGCCGAAGCAGGGCGACACACAGACGCCTGATCGATCTTTCGTGGGCACTACGCAGACCCCGGATTTCGGGCAGGTGGACTGCGAGCTGCCATCACAAGGCACCACGACGACTCCAGCCTTCGTGCCCCGATCGGAATGAGCCTTGCAAGGCAGAACAGTCACTCCAGTTTCTGGGCAAGGCTTTGGGGAGGGTGTCTCGTAGCGCATGTGACGCACTTCCGTAGAGCTGCTGTAGATCGGTTTGACGGGTGCTAGACTGGTTCGCGATGGTATAGGGCACGGCAAAGTGGGCTTGGTTTGACTCACTTTGTCGATGGTGCAGATGTTCCCTGGACTCTGTGGCGGCGACGTTGGCACTACTTCCTTCCGTTCGCATTTCTCGTAATCTTCGACCACCTGAAGAGCTTTCTTTACATAGGACGCGGTGTTTTGTTGCTCGCTGGTCTCCTCGCTCGTCATGCATCGTGTCTCTTGGAATTGGGCGTAGAGCGCATCCGTTGGACCTCCGTCGAGGCTATTGGTTTCTTTCTCGTCGTAGTTGACAGTCCTTGAGGCGGAATACTCTTGTTTTCTGTGACCGCTGTCGGTGTCTTCCTCCACATTGTAGGATATAGTTTTGCGCGACGGGAAATGTATCGATCCACGTTTCGACGGCGGTGGATCTTCTCGAACTCTCGGAGCTTGAGCTTTCACGTAGCAAGCAGGTGGCTCAGGTGGCCCCTGCGCCGGTGATATGGACCTACGAGGTGTTGGAGTGGGTGTTCTGCTAGGAATGAACGGCTGGCTCTCCACTGGACCTTTCTTCATCGCCACCAGGTTTCTCTGATAGGCTGGTATAGTGTCCGGTTTCTTTAGACCCGCTGTGAAAGACTTACTGCTAGGTGTTTGTGGTCGAGACCTCGCCGGCGACGCTGAAGAGTCTCTTAAGCGATGGTCAGGCGGTGGGGTGGGCAAGGGTCGCGGTCCGGAATATTCTTTGACTTCCTTCATGCACACTTGTTCTCGCGTGTAAGAGTCCCTTTTCGTATCGCCATACAGAATGTCCAATGGCGGACAGTGGCTATTTTGCATTTGAATACTCGGAGTCTGCGACCTACTTGCGATCTGCCGATCTTCTGGTCCGATTTCCCGACTCAGAGGGGTATAGGATCTCTCGGGTGCTATCGTTAGAGCTTGTTGGAACGGCGAAATCGGTCGAATCTCTTCCTTGGGCGGCGGCGGTTTGGGTCGACATCTGTGGTCCAGGTAGATAGTCTCTTCGGTGTAGAGCTCCTTCATGCTGCTGGTGGCACTGAGCGGCGTGTAGGACCGATCGGATACAGTTGTCAGGGCGTTCACCATCTCAGACTTCCACTCCTTGGGCGTGGAGTTCTTCACGGGCATGTCCGCTAGAGGTTTCGGCCCGGTTTCAGTTTCCTTTAGGAACTGGACTTTCTTCTTGCACGTCTCCATGGTCTCTTGCTGAGGTTGGTGGCTGTATCTCGCGACCACTCGTCTCTCTGGTGCTTGTTGATCCCTGAGACTTTGATGAACCTCCACCTGCTCTCGCAGACTCTTCCTGCGCTCATCGTCGCCCACACCTTTCCTCCTCACGCGTTCCTGAACTAGCACCTCCTCTGTGATTTCTTCGTAAGTCTCTTTCGTCACCTTGCAGCGTCCAGGAGTGGTGTCCGTCTCGGTGATGCGTTCCTCTCGAACGACAGTTCTGCCGAGCGGTTGTTCTCGCACCTTTTCGATTTCTTCCTCCGCCTCATTGAAGGTTACATGTTTCTTGGCCTTCTCCTCTTCTTCTTGTCTTCGTTTCTCCTCTTCTTCGCGGCGTCTTCTTTCCTCTTCTTCTCGTTTTCTCTTTTCTTCTTCTTTCTTCCTGCGTTCCTCTTCCTCCTCTTCCCTCTTCCTTTCTTCCTCCTCCTGCTTCACCTTCTCCAGCATCTGTTGAGCATCGATGACCGACGTAACCGTCTCAGCGGATTCTTCCACTGTCCGTTCCTCTGCCGTGTTCTCCACCTCTCGATTGATATGCTTCTCGGTTCTCCTCGTGAAGTATTCCGACTCCGTTTCGTCCTCTTCTTCGATCATCCTAGTATCTGGTTTCTCCGGCGACACCTTCTCTACAGTCTTCTCGAAGGTCGCCGATTTCTTCACGTGCATACCGTCGACGATCTCCTCGGCCGTTTCGGTGATGAAATCATGTTCGCCTTGAATCCCCGTCGAGCAAACTTCCGGCTCGTCCATTTCGTCTTCCCTGAGATCAGTGACTTCAGTATCAACTTCCTTAACCGTTTCGGCTGGTTCTTGCCTGGGCGTGGGCAACGGCGGTTTCGGGCAGATCGTTTGCTCCCTTCGGCAGATTTCCGCTCGGTAAGCTCGATGCTCCTCCCGTTGTTCCTTACCACTCGATATCCGTTCTCGATGGCAGACCTCGCGCTGCATCAGCTTCTTGCAGATCTTGGGCTGCTGCTGTTCCTGTTGCGCGTAACTTTGCTCGTACAGGTTAGTGCCGCCGCTAGTGACGGTCGCGGTCCACGGTTTCGGGATCGGCTGGACGATTTTAGTGGGCGTGAGCGATCTACGAACGCTGTCGGTCGAGCTGGGCCTCGACGTGACGTCCGAGCGAGTGGTCCTGTTGGTGTCCACTAGCTCGACACGCCGGTACATCGGCCCAGGACAACTTAACCGATCCATTGCCGAGTACTCGCGCTGACGAGCACCTTCTCTTGTCGCTCTTTCGACCTCTCGGTCGGTGCTCTCGCTTCGTCTCTCGGTTCTCCAACTCAGGGCTCGCTCGTAAGCTTCGATACTAGCGCGCTTCTCTCTGGCTTGGTGGCACCTTCGGTCGAGGACGGAGTTGGGGTTGATGTAGAGAGGACTGGCGGTGGGATAGGTGATGTCTTCGATGGATTTCGGGGGTGGCCACACAAGACTTCGGGATTTTACGGAGCTGGGACGGGACTGGTCTCTCGTGTCCTCAACGACTTCAGAGTAGCAGGACCTTTCGTAAGTTTCGCTGGAGGTTTCTGGGACGGGGAACAGAGGACGTGACGAAATAGTTGATAGATCCGACGGAGGGGCGGGTAGCTCGCCGAGATCGTGGAGCAAAGAAAACGAGGGTGCACGACACACGAAAAGTGCATTTAATACATGCGTTCGGGAGCGTGAGTGACGTCGGGGGGGGGATACGTTAGAAAGAACAAACAAAAAAGAACAAAGAAAACTGCAGTGAGTAAGAAGCACGATGAACCGCGCATGCGCTCGTGATCTCTTCGATTTCTCTCCATCCTTCGAGTTCGTGTCATTATTTTATTAAGTGACGGAAAATTAGAGATTCCCTCAAATCATGTTTGAACAAGTGATAAAGTGGACAGGTAGAAGGAAGGTGAGAAGAATACGTATATCGTTGAAGATATTTTAATCAGAATATTTTTTTTCTGCTCAAAATTTTTCAAAAGAGACCACGGGCACAGCCCGGTGCGCTAAATTAAGAAAAAAGAAGCGAGATATTAAATAAACTCTCGTAGTCTTCGCGAGAATTCGAAGGCTCTTCTAATTCATTAATTAGCCGCACTCTCTCGATTAACTAGCCACTGTCGACAATCTAGAGCAGCGTGAGAACTGCGATTCTGTGCGAGTTGTTATGAATGATCGATACCAAATCGGTCGTAAGTAGCAAAAGGATTTTACGATGACAGAGCGCGCATTAGCATCGGCACTCAGGTACTGGCACCGATGCAAAGCGAAGAAAAAAATCGCTATTAAGTCGTCCATGACTCTATGTGAGAGCGTCGAAGAAGAGAGGTAGTGCAATGAAAGAAAAAAAAAAGAAAACCAGAAACAAGTGTGGAGGTATAGACGTGCGCTCGTTCAACGACGAAGGGCTTGTTGTGCTTCACTTAATATTTGTATTTATTTATCCAACATTCTGGGCTGATGACGATACACAAGCTGTCACCGGGCAACACCTCAGAAGTGTCATTGTGTCCGTGCGCTGACTCACGATGTTCTTTCTCGTGTCTCTTGAAAGAGAGAAAGCGCAAAAACAAGCGATATTCTCGGGGTGCGAGAAGTAACTCACTCGCTACCGGTCGCGTTATCGCGTTATCGCGTAAGACAGGTCCAGAAGTACGTAAGTATCAAAGTTGCTAGAAAAAAAGGAGAGAAAGAAACAGAAAAAGAAAGACACATTCATCCCACTCCGAGGAAAACAGCGAATGCGTACCTAATGATCGCGACGCGCTAAAAAAATTTTCTACGTGACGCGAAAGAAATCGTGAACAGCAACGAAAAAATCGCTCTATGCGTTTTCTGGCGCTTTCGTCATCTGGATTGTGTTTGGGCCATTCGGTTGCCAGCGTGAAGACGACGACGGCGGCATCGAGAGCTATCGATTCATGCGAAAGTGAGGGAGAAAGGTCGGGGTTTCGGGTTGAAAGACGGACCGGCTGAAAAAAGATAAAAGAAAGATTATACGCGCGGGAAAGAGATGACGATAACGATAGCGCGCGCGTGGCGAGACCTTGCGGGTGTGAACATGCCGGTATGCAACGTCTAGAGAACGAGATGTTGCGAGTGAAGTTCCAATAGGCCGTTTCCTTTTTTTCTTTTTTCAGATAGTATATAATGCAAAAGACAAAAGAGAGAGAGATATATATATATATTACGGAATATTTTTCTTCGCCGGAATGAATAAGACGGAATAGAAAATTTTCCTCTACGATGAAATTTACATTGCAGCTTTTTCTTATAGCAAGGGCAAAGTGGGACGAAATGATACAGACTGTTAAAATTCGAAAAAAATTACGAAGGAAAGTATTAATGTTTTTTTTTTTTATATTCCGTTTTATTATGCGTAGTTTAATCGTGATAACTTTGGATATCGGATTTTTAATTCTGTCACGAACGATTTCTGATCCGGGCACTTTCTCTTGCGATATACTCGGGATATTTCGAGACAAGATTACAATTTGATTACAATTTGACAATTCTCCGAGTACATCGCGCGAGCTTGTAAAGGTACAAGAGTAAAAGGGGGTGAAAGCGCGCAGGAAGGTCGCTACGAACTGTCATAGCTCTCAGAGTTCGCCGTCGTCGTCGAGATAACGACGAACGATAAGAAGCCGAGGACGAAACTTTACGACAATCACAATCCGGGAGAGAATCTGGAGAGAAAGAGAAAGAAAGAGAGAGGAAGAGAGAGAGAGAGAGAGAGAGAGAGAGAAAAAGAGAGAGAGAGAGAGAGAGAGCAAGAGGGAGAGTCTCCTAAACCTTCCTTTCTCTTTCTATACAAGAGGTCAACATCATGACACGGATTAACGAGAACCAACGATCAATCGATCGATATGAGCAGCGGTGCGGGGGAGAAAGTGCGATAAAATGTGAGGACGTAAGCCAAGAGTGCGCGGCGTATCAGCCAAAGCTTGAAACTCGGTCAACTGGCTCTAATCTATTCGTCGTACCTCTGAAGGGCGAACTTTTTGGCTTTGGCAGGGTAGAGTACCGACCTATTTGCAAGAATCGAAGGCAGAGTTAAGCCAAGGGCACACGAAACGAGATCGCGCGATTGCAGTCTCGGTCGATCGCGAGATTGCCTCTTCTTCCGACGTTTCCGACAACGATGCCTCAAATCGACGCGATCCCCGCAAGTGTGACCGTGACGTGACATAAAAAATATACGTGAAGAAAGAAGATGATGTACTTGCGAACTGGGGGAGACTCTGTAACCCGTCGCTCACGATTCGAATACCTCGTCGTGTGAGATTGCAAAGAGGTAGGGATTTCGATGTGACTCTCTCGGTACCTCGAGATCGACTGCGTGTCATAAGTCATAAGCGAATTCCTGTTGCGAGTCTCCGTGTGTGACTGCATTACGCAAACCGGGCAAATGTATCTATGCGCGTATGATGTGTGTAATATCGCGCAGGTTTCGCGCGATTTGGACGTGTTATTGAACATCCGTCTCGCGAGTCAAGCGAGTTCTCCTCGCGCCTTCGCATCAATTCTTCACCCATCGAGATTTCACCGTGAAGCTTATCCTCGGCGATACGAGACGCTTACTTACCTGTCACAGTCTGGCTCTGAGGACGCGGCAAGGTGTTACTCCCGGAATTTAACGCCGGGCTCGAGGACAGATTCGATGAGAAGCCAGCCGATCCACCGAAGGGCTTAGGACCGATGAGACTATTGCTCGTTGGTGCCTGCGAATTCACAAATTTCCACCTTTAATCGTCCCTTGCAACATGCCGTTGCAACATGCACTTTATCCTTGTTCTTTTGATGCGTCAAGCGACAATCTTTTTTTATCGAAAGTTTTTCCATTCGACATCGATGTGTAATTAATTTCGTTTTTGGACTAATGAAACGATATCCGCGAGAGAGAATCGATGGGAAACGTGAAACGTGCTGCTCGTCTGCGCAACGTGTGTAATCGAAACCGTGTGGGCGATTTCGTTGTCCTGATAACGCTCGCTAATGCAAAAGCGCGATAAGTTAATCAGCGAGCCGTATTGCGCGCAAAGTCTCAAGGAACGTCAGGCTCGAAGGTATTATTTCCATTCTGCCTGGAAGGTCATACGCGAGCGAGCGCGCATTATGCGAGCTCAATTATCAGCACGAGAACTTCTTTAAGACGATTAATTATCACAGCGTTCACAGCGAAGGAACGGTATAATCTCTCTAAACAAGCAAACCGTACGTCTTGTTAATTCAGCATTGTTTATTGCACACATCGCTGAGCGAATTGCTGAAAGATCAGTAGATTGGCTGGCAAAATTTATCGGCGATTTATACTTTAGACTTCATCAACAAGTTCATTGCCGGAATGACTCCGGGCAATTTCACGTTCCCGACGTCGCACCTTCTAATCAGTATGCTGTTTGAGTATGCTAATTCATCATACTTGTCACTCAACAAAACCCGCAGAGGAGAAATCTACGCGAGGTAACTCGCGTCCGACTCGGTCAATGTGTTGATCCATTTGCGTCGTTGAGAAATTGGAAAAATATGCCCGTGAACCAACGAATGTCTTTTATCCCTCAGATCGACAACGTAATGTCGATCATCAAACGTCAAACGTAATGAAAAGCAAATTGCATTTTTGCGATCTGATCCACCTACGGTAAGAAAGATCGCGATTTGAAGTGAACGGGTGTATATCCGCTTTTGATGCAAATAGGTCGAGCGTGCATCGAAGCGAGCGAGCATCGCTGATTAACTCGCGAGAGCTCAGTCGATTGTACAAGATCAACGACTTTCCGAGCCGAGAGCACGGCCGAGAGCAGTCGTCGCTTGGCGGCTACGTTGTCTCGCTGTTATTCGTTCTCAAGGACCCGCTGAAATGAATTAACGCATCGCGCGAGCTCGACGACGGCTCTCATGTGCACACAATCGCGCGAGGCGGTTCACTTTTTACCGTTTACGTGTATCTCGATTCACGTTTCCAATGACTGTCTCTCGCGTGAGTTTCGCGTCGCGGCTTTCGCGGATATCACGCTCGCGATACTGACGATCTCAGAGGGTGATCGAAGAGTCGAAGAAGGACGACGAGCGTTACGAGTCGCGCTGGGACTTTACCTGGACTGATCGCAAGCTGGGCGAATCGACGGGCGGGGTGCCAAGACGGGTGGGCTGCAATGCACAAAACGACACAACGTGGTCACGTGGCTCGGGCAATTAAAACGAGCGGGAGGGTGCGACGGGGTAGGTGGATGGCCAGGGAGGGGACGAAAAAATCCACGGGAACCGCTCCCGATTGCGACAGGCCGATTAGTCATCGGGTCGAAATAATCGATCGTGAGAGATTGAGAGGAGGATTAAGACACAAGTGGGTGGTCGACCTACAGTGTCGACGAGGAAGCTGACGGTCGCAAGGACACCGCGGTGGAATGACGACTAGCCGGTGACCGATCAACCGGTTTCGAAATTCACGCCTGATTCAGCGTAGGTGACTTTCGTGCGATCCTTGCGCCTTGTGTCAGCTGTTAGCGGACATTCATTCGCGAATTGCGTTCTTTTCCTCTCGCGTGTCAGCCAGTGTATGCGAGGTATGCACCGCGTCTACAGCGTCTCTACACGTTGATCTTCGGGAAAGAAACTGAAGATCGAAAAAATTCGGGACGAGATTCTCCGAAAGATTATAATCTCGAAATACGAATATTCGAGACGATCTCCTGAAATATTCTAAAATTATCATTATTTACATGTGTAGAAAGTCGTTATTCGCATGTGGAAATTTGTACATAGTGTGCGACTACTTTTCCTCTTCGAAATTATGATCTTTCTCACCACGAGTAGAGACTATATTTTTCAAATTTCGAAATTTGGATTTTTCGAGACAATATGACTCGCGGCTTGTCGCATATGTCGAGCGTTTCATGTGTCAGGATTATCACGAAAGGAAAGACACACGCTGAAGTTAGCGGTGCTTTAGCGTTAGCGCGGGTACAAAGAGATCGAGATTCCGAGCACATTGCCAACCTCTGTGCCACCTGTTTGGATGGTGATTGTGCTCGTGAACGTTTTTGATTCCCCGTTGCAGTCGCCATTGCGGATGCATCCGTTCGTGTTCGTGGTCAGTCGTCGAGTATGTTGGAATCCAGAATCGGGGCTCGTACGATTGCACGCCTGGAAAAGCGATTAGTTGCCAAGCGAGGGCCACACTTGTTAACTTCTCAAGAGAGACACGCGTCTCATCGTCGGGAAACGATTGTTCGTAAGCCGTAGCGCGATTTTCGTAAATGCATCGCGATCGAGAAATCAAATCCGTGACGAGAAAAATGTCTCATGCGTCTGGATGATAAGATACATCGGTATATTTATTTCTGTTTGAAGCGAAGAGTAACGGAGTTGAGTGTCTCGTAAATTGTGTCTGTTACTTACAAGAGCTATTGACAGCGTTCGTCATGAAGATTTTTTTCTTGGTGAGAATGTCGAGGAGAGTCATCATTTATAATGACATTTTTCATTTTCAACGTAACACATGTTTGCAGTTAAATCTCAGATTAAAATTCTGTTGTGTGTGAAATAAAATTGAAATTAATGGGCTTAAAACAATTTTGTTGTCCACATAGTCTTCCAAAGTTTAGTTTTCGTTCGACAGTCTCGTTCGACGAAAAAAATGACAGATTTACATGACACAAGGAAATCGCGCTATGTAAATAGCGGGCGCGACTTACGAGACATCCCAGTTCCACCCAGCAAGATATTCGAGTTCGCGAACGACGGTTGTTCGCTTTGTCGCGAGGGTCATCGGCTTCGTGGCGAATTCGACGCGACGCCGACGCCGTCTTTCCAGAAGACGATCGTCGCATCACACGTCCATTGTATCCCCGGTATGACTTAAAAAAGGAATCGTTAATGCGAGAAATTTCGTCGCGACCTTCGTCCGGCTGGCGACCGTAAGAAGCGCTGTGAAATCGCGCGCGAATGCAGCAAAGCCACGCTCAATGCAAAATACTCGCTTTATAAGCCATACCAAAACAGGCAAGAAAATGCGTGTGCGGAAAAATCCCGCCGTAGCATGCCTCGTAAAGAGAATCAAATTATGATGAAGCAACTTACGGAGAATGGCTGAGGCGACGATCCGTGATTGCTAAGGGGCGGCGATAAAGGTGCACCCACACTCGCCAGCGCCGCGGAAATGGTGCCGGCCGGTGCTTTGCCACCTCTGTCAAATCGCAAAGAGAGGATACCTTGTCATTGATGACTCCACGAATTCAGGCTCGTCGAGAGAAATACTCGAGAAAGAAATATATATCACGACCGACTCAACGAATTTGGGAAATCTATCTTTCGATTTTATTGTCCGCTCAAGCCTGAAGTAATAAGTATTGTTTCTTTCATCCACTTGACATTATTTGTATATTTTGTATTTCTGGCTTGAGAGGAGGGAATTAAAATCTTTGCTATTAAAAAGTTCATCGCGTTCTTTAGCAAGATAGACTCCACCGACGGTCTGTTATTGGAAGAACACGATAAAAGAGCGATAGGTGTATCTCATATAAAAAGTGCGGTAGTATTCTTTCAACGTTGCGCCACATATCGTAAGAGACGGTGCAACTTACGGTGGAACGGTGATTGGTACGAGACCAGCCGGTGCGTTTTGCCTGGCGACGAGTTTCGCGTGGATGTCGCAGTACAATTTATTGTTGATGTTGTAATAGCCGACGTTCTTCAGGGACGTGCCGCAGGTCGAGCACTTGAAGCACTCTACGTGGAGGTTCTTGTCCTTGATCCTGACGAACACACCGCTGCGCCGCGAAAATAAATAGACACATTAACGACGGTATCGTTCTCCTCCGCTCTCTCAGCGCTACGGTAATTAACTTTCTTTGAGCGTAACAGTAAAGGCGAGATGATGACGTCGCATCGGATGTGCCACGAGTTTTCAACTGTGTACTGTATGCACTCGAGCACAAGAAGAGAAAGAGAGGTAACACGACACCTCGACGAAGGAGGCCGGGGGCATAACTATTATTTCGTATTATGATCTCCATGGGAATTATATCCGACGAATGAGAGAGCGAGATGAGACGCGCGGGCAAAGCTACAAGGAATGTGCTTAGAACATTAATCTCCGCTAGCGAAGTGAGTTTCTCTCGGAAAACACCTTGCCAAAAATACTCTGTTGCGTTTTATGACTGAGATCAAAATCAGCTGGCCAATACAATGTGAGTTGTACAATGTGCATGTGTAATTGTAATGCTCGCACAATAGCGTGTGTGCGTCGGCAAGTCCTCCCCGTGTAATATTCTACGCTCGAGATCGTAAATCGGCTCCGTTCTTCTTCGGCCGGGACGAAAAACAGGCGACACTTCGATGCGATTTCTTTGCGAAATTTATGAAAATGAAAAAAGAGAAAAAACGATCGGTAGCATCTGACGTGAGTGTCGACCGGCAACCCGCGCGAAAAAATTCAAAAACGTTTTTCTCGTGTCTGCCCGACCGCGGCAAAAAGTCGTGGAGGTGGTGAACAAAAACAGAAGAAAACAAGAGAAAAGAAAAAGTCGCTGAAAGAAAGAAAGAAAAAAAAAACACGACTGCGCATAAGAGTAAAAAGGGAAAAATCGAGAAAACAAGATAAAAGTTCCACAAAAATATAATCATCACAACATCGAAAGCGTATGTCACGTTATTGTGGTCATTCAGTTGTGCTGTGAATGCGTTGGAAAAGGTGCTATTAAAGAGTGCAAGAGAGTAAAGAGACACTTAAGTAGGGCTAGTGCGCTGAAGCTGCGAGCGAGCGAGAGGAGAAGGAAACTTTCGTCTCGCTCGGATACGACTTCCAGTAGGTTGTAAGCCACAAGCTCTCCAATGATCACAAATGATCAACTTGTCCAGAGATAACAGCGAGATCAAAATGCACAACGAGACTCCAGCCGGTGTTCGTTCCTCCTGAGGAAGCGATTCTCATGAGAAAGAGGCGACAGAGAAAGGCGCGCTCCGAGTCCGGGTCCATCAAAAGGATAAGCGTGCACCTCGCTTAATCTGATTTCTCCAATTGACGCTAACAAAAACTTGCGCTAAAAATTGCCGCGCCTCGTTCGCGGCCTCGTTTCTTCACACCTCGCGTAACTCGATTTATTATTTCCCGCGCCGCAATATCGCGATGTCATTTTTTCCCCTCTCGCCCCGCTAATTTTCCTCTACGATAATGTATCTTCAAAATTAAATGTATCTTTAATTAATAATAATTAAATGACGTGCACGCTTGTCTTCGAATCGGAGTGTTCAAGATGATACGAGACAGCGTACGACAATCGAGCAATTCAGAACGGCGTCGTGTTCGGGAACCTTTGACGATCGCATGAGGCGCGGAATTCGCCGACTGAGAACAACAGGATATCGCGAATTGTACATAAATACACACACACACTATATTTCAACAATCCCGGCTCGATTCACGGCGCACGAGGCGAGGGGCTGCTCGCTGGAAAGCTGAGCGAGCAATCTCTCAGAGTCAGCACGTCTCTCGTTCTCAATGGGCGAACGGCAGCGCCTCGAAATCGTCGCCAAAACGAAACCCGCGGAGCGGCCGTCTCGTGCAAGGGTGGAGTCTTTTCTCGCTTAAATAGTTACACGATCACCCGGTCGCAGTTGTTACAAACGACCCCGCCCGGCGTCGACGACCCCGCGGCAGCAGACCCCTGCTTCTGCTGTGCTTCCTGAGGCTTCGGCACGTCGGAATTCGACGTGGCCGGCTTGCTACCGGCAGGTGCACCACCTCCACCACCACCACCACCACCACCACCACCGCGCATAGCATAAAACCGAGGCGTGGGTGACCTCGGCGAAGTGGCCCTTCCGCCAACCGCGTGGCTCACCGAGGAGTAAAACTCTGTCCTTGAAGAAACTACGACATGGAAGTAAGAGAAAAAGCGCCATGACAACGGCAGCACCGGGAGAGACGTGACCGCTCGATGAAGCGATATTTCTTCGGCAATCGTGTGTCCGCCGATATAAACGCGCGCACGCGGATCTCCGGTTTCTTGAATCACGGGGAATTTATTTTTATTGAGGGGGGAGGGGGAACTATCCGAGAGCAGCCATCAGCCGCTATACAATACGCGTACAATTACAATTGCAGGAGAAGAAAGTAGATAGAGAGAGAGAGAGAACTTTCTCGGGTTTTCTCGGGTTTACGCAAATCTTCCCGCGGGAAGATCTTGCAATATCTCGAGATGACGTGAGTCCGGAGAATCGGAAATCCGCGCGACGTATCCGGTCGAAAGCACGAGCCCCGTCGTGGAACGGAATCATGACTGTCGTCGGGTATCGTCTCGCCTCGCCTCGCCTCGCCTCGCCTCGCCTCGCCTGCCTATCCGCTGAAAAATCGAGAGCGACCAGGACGCGTGTCCCACGACTTCACTTACACGATGAGCCTCTCGCATTCGGCACAGATGTTCTGTCCTGGTGGAAGGCTCGTTTGCGGCGTCGACGGCTGCTGCGGCTTCGTTTCTGGCGCCTGGACCGGCCTCAGTCCTGCCAGGGCGGGCGAGGACGGCGTTATCACGCCGCTCACCGAAATGGGCTCCGCTATTTCGCAAACAAGTTATCGTATCGACATGCAACAGGCCGGCTGACGCCTCTCGGTCCAGCCGATCGATCACCGAAGACCGCAGCGATAGACAACAGCATAAGTGTTTCGTATCGTTCTTCATCGCGGCTCTGCGACTGTTTTCTTTCAAATTTTGCGCGCGTTATGAATGCTCGAAAATATCGTCGTTGTTATATTTTTAATATAATTGTCATACTAACATAATACTTTCTAATTTAATCACCGCCATGATAATTGAGATTCACGCCAGTCGGAATCGCGTAAACAAAATGGAAATTTGGCGTTGCAAGATTGAGCGGTTATCATTGGCGATTGTTGAGGTTGTAATGAAATAGACTACCAGCCTCAACAGAAGATAAACAGAAGGTAAAAGAATGCACGAAAGTGAACGCGAATTCGGTGCACGCTCTTCGGTGATCTCGTACGTTTATGTACGGACGTTTTTAGAGAGTGGGAAACAAAAGAGAGTGGGCGCGTATTAATAATCCTGAACTCTTCCGGAAACGGAGTTAAAAAGTGTCGTCGAATTTTACTAACCAGGCTCTGGAGTCTTTGGTTCCTTGTCCGCTTCTTGGACCATTTTGAAGACCTCGCTGTTCTCGGAATTGTAGTTCTTCTCGTTCTTCTTGAAATTCACCCTGCAATATTCGCGTCGCGTGAGCAAAGTGTGTCCTGTCGCACGCTCGTCGACGCGAGATTATTGACGAGATCGATCACGATCAATTACGAACGCGCGAATCTTGTCACACATTTGAATGGAACAATGATCGCTCGCATCGACGAGTCACGACACGGAGCAGCATCGCACCCCGGCGATAACCGCGAGATTTGGCTGCCGATTTCGCTCGATAACTTTGCACCTTAACACATTGACTGCGCGAACGTGTCAGACGTACGTGCGACGGATTTTCCTCAAGAAGAAAAGAATTGTTTCTGCAGCAGTCGCGGATTGCATTTCCGTGAAATGCGTGGCCCGCGAAAGTCAAAGTGTTAAGGAGCAGAGCAGTGTCTTCAATCCCGTCTCATCGGTTATCTTTCTCTCCCTCCTCCCCCCCCTCCCCTCGTCCCTTGCCCCTTGCCCGTCCTCCATCCGCGGCTATATGCGGTTTCGTGATTTTACCCAAGGACACCTCCGGCAAGGACCTCGGCCTGGGCGGACAGTGTCTCCGCGATCGTCTCCTCGCTGTAGATTCCTACGGGGCTGTTGTACTGTTTGTTCACGATCGACTTAATTGGACCGTCGCCGGTGCCGTTCAGCTGAAAATTATTACGTTCCGCGGTTAAAGAAATAAATAATGGCGCCTGCTTTCCTCCTCTCTCTTTCTCTCTTTTACTTTCTTTCTTTTCGTTTTCGTGTTCCTCCTTTCTTTTTCCTTCTTTTTTTTTTCGTTCCGGAGCAGAGACGCGTATATATTAACGGTCGGTACTAACGAATGGCTTGGGGCTGAAATTGTGTCCGCTGCCGATGAGGGGTCCGTCTTGTTTCTTCGCTGCCAAAGAGGTCTTTGTGACGGGCGCGATGTTGGCCGCGGAGGCGATGTGCATCGGAGACGGAAGGCTTGCGGTCGCCGGCGTCACGTGCGGTTTCCAGGTACTGCCGCCTCTGCGTATTATAATATATGATCCGTTAAAAGACCGGAATTCGGCTACGGTTATGAACTACTTGCCGCGTTTGCGGTCTGACATTGTCGAGACAGCTCTACGGTAAAACCCTCGACGCGCCGCTAACCGCGGGAGTAAAGTCAACTGACGCCCGCCCATCCGGCGAGCAAACAAATCGGGCAATTTGCGAAAGTAGACTTTACCGCGTTTGTTTCGTTCGTTCTTGTTTACTCGGCTTGGAATTTTATCGCGACCTTCGTCTCGCTGACGATGAATCAAGACTAGGCGAGGTACATTGTTTCCCTTTCTCGCTTTCCTTAGCGCTTTCCTTATTTTATATCATATTAATTAACTGCTATATCGGATGGGTATATTTAAATTGATTAATTTATTTACATTTATAAGGTATATTAATATTAACTTGTGTGACGCACACACACACAGCTGCTGCTGCTGTATAAATTGAATTATTCCTTCACAAAATTAACGAGAGAGTAAGCGCGGCGCTTTTTCACGAGAAAGTCATCAAAATTTTCAAGCAAAATTTAAGGTGCCACTCCCTTCAATATTCAGACAAATATCCTAATAAAAAGTATTTAAAAGTCTTTAAATATTCGCTAGATATGCTTTTGTTGATGTTCGACCGATGATGAGCGATTCATCGACTTCTCTACTCTACTCTAAGCTGCTTCTGAGCTTGTTGCAGCAGCAATATTTTTAAATATCGCCGCCAAAATTATCCGCTTGTGCATTATGTTATATTGCTATGCGTCACCTTTGCACGGTGAGTTCGAAATTATTCCCGGCCTTGACTATGACATCTTGCGCGTCCTTGTGCCTCAAGTTGTACATATCGGTGGTGTTGACTTTGATAACGGCATCGCCAGCTTTAAGACCAGCAGCTTCCGCCGGGGAGCCGCTATTAACCTGCAACAAAAGCAGACTGACTCAGAATTGCGTGGGGTAGAATCTAGGTCGAACAAGCGGGGGCGTTGCACAATTTGGGCGTAAAAATCGTGTATGAACAATTGTTGAAACTCATCATCAGTGTCATCTCATGTTTTTGTTATAATAATATATTTTTAACTCGATCGTCGTATCGTAATTTTGCATAATTTTATACATTTCCATATATTTGTTGTTTTTATATGAATATGCAACATTTTTACTCGATAATTACATCACACGCAATCTTCGCCAGGAATTTTTACTTTATCCCGTAATTATATCCCGAGAAATTATCATTTTTCAACTCGCCGGTCGACTTGGCTTTCGAAAATTGTCCACGCGTGGTCCGACCTAAATTGTTCACCAACATCCGAGATTGAATCGAAAGATTGTCACACCACCGAAGCGAATCGTCGATCCTCAGATATGCAGCGGACTCTTATTGTCATTTGCTCGTGTGTACCGACATTTGCCGCATTTCTCAAATTAATTCATTCACGGCCGCGGTTCTGCGAAGAGAACGCTCCGTCCAATTAATTAATACTAAGTGTTAACGAAGAAGCGCGCTGTTGATCTACGGCGCTGGCGAAGAGGAAATCGAGGGATCGATCGGCGCGCAGCGACGGCGTTCGAGGTGCTCGTCGAGTCTCGGTGTCTATTTTTACAAGACACGCCGCCGGACCGGAGCTCTTCTCTCTCCTCTCCTCTCCTCTCCTCTCCTCTCCTCTCCTCTCCTCTCCTCTCCTCTCTCCAGTCCAGACTCCAGCCACTATATTTAAGTGCACGCGCGTCATTACGCCTCGAATGTCGGACACTGTGCATTCATTCACGTAGAGACACGTCTTCGTCGTTGTCGTCGTCGTCGTCGTCGTCGTCGTCGTCGTCGTCGTCGTCGTCGTCGTTGTCGTCGTCGGCGACGACGAGAGGACGGCCAACGAAAGGGAGTGAGGAACGTTAAGGGGAAACAGAAGCGGCGGCAAATGAAAAATCAAGGGCTCCTTCTTGCCCGATCTTTCGCCGGCGTGCGTTCTTATCGAGTTAATTACGAGCTCGAGTGCAATGATGACGATGAGAGACGGCGAGAGTGAAATCGACAAAAGGAGCTGTGTGCGCCGAGCGATGCGATCGCGACGACGATTAGCGGAGGATCAATCCGAGTTAATCAGACGTCGTTGTATTGTGAGGGACGGGGGTGTCGCTATACAAAATTTTATATCTTTTCATTCGATCTTTATTACTGCTTTCTAAATTTCTTGGAACGAAATTCTACTCGAGAGGCGGAGTGACAGCGACACAAAATTGAAGAGTGAATTCGATGAGTTCCACTGTCATAGAAAACTTAACTCTTTTTTTTACTCTCTAAACTTCCTCGAGTGAAATTTCTCTCAAAAAGTTTAGTGACAGCCGAATCACGCGTGATTTTTATCGACGAAGCGAATTTTTCGCTGTGAGTCGTCGAATGAATATTTTTACTCGACATTGAACGGTGAATTCGATGTACTCCCCCGTTGCATAAACTTTGCTTTGCAATTTCGCCCAACGTCAACGGTTGTGAGAACAATAAACGCGACCGTTCAACTGGTGAATTATCGGATATGGCAGACGCATTATTCTGTCATTGCAAGACGGATATGATGATCGAACAACGAGAGAAGGCGTACGGCGGCTCGTTATCGAGAATCGGACCCGATTTCTTCTTGACGGTGCTGGCAGCTTCGGAAATAATTAATGGGCTTCGATCCAATCGTAGGCGATTGCACGCCGGGGGGCGGGAAGGAGGGGCGGAGAGACTACTCTATAAATACGTCCCGTAATATATCGCCGTTATTTTTATTGCGAGTCGACTCCGCGCGCGACAGGAACACTCGTCCTCCCGTAAAACATCCGGATGGAATAGATCTTATTTCGTTCGTCTTCTTTACGAAAAGTGGGTCGCTCTGCTTACGGAGATAGAGAGAGAAAGAGAGAGAGAGAGAGAGAGAGAGAGAGAGAGAGAGGGAGAGAGGGAGAGAGGGAGAGAGGGGGAGAGAGAGAGAGAGAGAGAGAGAGAGAGAGAGAGTGAGAGAGAGAAGAAGAAAGAAATATGATCGGTGATGTGTTGTGCATTCTATAAATTATTCGAAAACACAACGATTATTTTCACAATTTTTTACGTACGTGAAAAAAATATTGTAAAAATTGCAACAATATTTTAAATGCAACAAAAAGTGCAACCGAATTTTTGTTTCTTCTTGGATCATGTAGAAATTACGATCAAAATTTATTTTATATATTTGCTTTGATATATCATCCGCATTTTTTTTATCGCAGAATTATGGTAATTACTCGAAAATATTTCATTGCGTGATATAATACAAACCAATAATTGTACTCTTGCATTCTCGTAAAACCGTATACTCGTGTTGGTGAGTTTTCATTAATTCTCATATGAATTCCGCGATGCCGACGAGATCGTTATCACGGTGAACAGCTTGGTGAATGTTAATTAACGGGTTTCGTGCGGCTGTAATTGTGGAAGTGCAATCTTCTGCTAATTTGCAGAAGCTGTTGCATGAAAGAGAGAGAGAGAGAGAGAGAGAGAGAGAGAGAGAAAGAGAGAGAGAGAGATGTGCTCTTTTTCACAGAAGATAAAAATATCCGAGATTACAAATCTCTTTGTTTTGACTCTTTCGCAATTAGAAATAGACGAAAGCCAGTTTGTTTGGAATTAAAGCAACACGTTCGGAATGAAATTTCATTCCAAGAAATTAGAGAGAGAGAAAGAGAGGGAGAAAGAGAATGTGTAGGGAAATGAAACCAATTCGAGGTATACATTTTGTCTGCCGTGCAAGTAGCAGAAAGATTGAATTATTTCGATTCAAAAGATTGAGAGACGCGTTGTCATACTTTTTCGCACTTTCACACGGAAGTGTTCATTAATTTCGCGCAACGTGAGCAAGAAAAATATGCACGTTCGTGTGATTTAGAAACGTGAAGAACACGCGGGAAATATCTAACTGGAAGAATTTTTCTAGAAGATATTAACGTAGATATAAATTTAGAATTACAAATTTGGAAAATATAAGCTTAGGCTTCGGCTCAAATGCGCGAAGCAATATGATATGTATATATTATGGTATATTATAAGAAAAGAATTAATACTAATATATTGGAAAAATTAGTGCGGTGAATTATTCTTTTCTGTGTCGAAAGAGACGTGGCTCTTTTGGGTGAACATTGAAAGGGACAGTAGTATCGTCGTCACATATGTGTGACGCTAGTAGAGAGAGAGAGAGAGAGAGAGAGAGAGAGAGAGAGAGAGAGAGAGAGAGAGGGGGGGGGGGTGGAGGGGAGGGAGAGAGAGAGAGCGCGTTAAGTAGAACAAATATACATACGAATTTATTGAACAAGAATGTTCTCCGTATGGGAGTCCGACAATCCGCTATTCGACACCGTGCCGTTTCCGTTCTTCTCGACTAGCCGGTGCGACGTCACACGCGCGAAATCGGAACGCGCGAGCTTGAGAGCAGTCTAATCTGCGCGTGTGTGGTTACCGCAAATAGAAGCTCACAAGCTTGCGTCATCGTCCTGAGCGTAATACCTAGTTTTACTGTTCGGTGCGTCTTCGATTCCGATAAATTCCGACGGTCCACACGACGGTACAGGCTCGCGATATCGAAATGACCCGCTCGTCGAGCGGATTTACCACGCGCGATATTCCGCGTGCGTTATGCACCGCTAAGTGCGGCAATTTTCAATTGAATCCTCGTCGTACGATAGCCAAGACTTGTCATGTCGCGACAGCACGCGCGATTAACGAAATCGCGACTGAACTGTTTAATCAACAAACAAATGGATGGGGGATGAGAGAGAGAGAGAGAGAGAGAGAGAGAGAGAGAGAGAAAGAGAGAACGCGTAACTGTGTCACATACTCGTCGGAGATTTACAAGCGATTTCGAGGGATCTGAATTATTATCGAGAAAACATTACTTCAGGCCGGAATCAACGTCCTCCGAGTCCTCGTCGACTGTTGAAAATTACGAGATTGCTGTGTCTTTCGGTTTTTAGCGGAAAGTTCCGTCTTACGATTGCCCTTTTGATTGCGAGTTTTCGGAAGTTCCAATTTCCAACTTCCCAGATTCGGATTCCTCAGAGCAATGCACGATTTGCGCGATGCGCTTCCGTCGTTTTTGCGCGCGGGAGCTGTTTTGCACGTCACGCGTTTCCGGGCGAGCGCGCGCACCTGATGGCGCATCTTCGGGCGGTCCTCACGCGAGGCGTCCCTTACGCCGGCGTCCACGAAGATCGTAGGGACGCGGACGTAAGTCAGGGTTAAGCCTGATGGACAGGCCGCTTCTAAAAATAGTCTTGGACCGGTCTAAAAATAGGCCCGCCGAACACGCACGGTCGTTACACGGCACGTACACTCGGAACCGAACTGCGGCGGCGGCGGCGGCAGCCGAGAGGTAGCGAGAGAGAGAGAGAGAGAGCGAGAGAGAGAGAGAGAGAGAGAGAGAGAGAGAGAGAGAGAGAGAGAGAGAGAGAGTGAACGAGGCATCTCGAGGTGCACCAGGTGCGGCAGGTCGCAGCGATCGTTCTCGTTCGGCGAATAATTAAGGCAGCGTCGATCTCAAAGCTGATGAATGGCACGGCGAGCGTGCGAAGGATTGCATACGTTTCGAGATGCGAGGATCGTTTCTCGCGCGCGTTAATACGCTCGCCGTAAGTCCCGGAGGAGTGAAACTCCGCTCGAGAAGTGGACTGACGAGCGAGTCGGTCGAACGGCTTTTCACTTGCAGACGAAGTGAATTCCTCGCTCTCGAATCGTTGAGTGAATATTTTTGCTCTCGGAATTGACAGATGAATACGAGGTCGCGCGCCGCGGGTCGCGGGTCGCGGGTCTGCGTCTCTCTCGACAACACACGCATAATACAGTCGCACTGGCGAGGTGAAGCACCGAGGCATCGGAATAAACGCAAACTACGAGACATTGTCGTGAG